AAGTTCTCGTAAGGAGCTCTATAAGGTAGCAAGTTTCTGCTGTGAAGAAACGTAGCGTTAAGAACATACGTTTGAACTTTCCTTGAAGTTTGGGGCATAAGCTTTTCATAGATTCAATAATAATTTTATAGTCTACACGTTCTTTCTGATTAGGATTAGTTATTAATTACGCTAGCTATGTTGCCTTGCGTGTATAAATTTTACTTTGATCTAATGAATCATTCTGTGATATGGTGATCTTATTTCCTGCATTATTGGTATCGATGTGTCTGCTGTGCGTTTCTTACGAAGAAATACACTGCATGGAGACCGATTAAATTTCTTCGAGGAGAAGAAAGTTAGGATACTACCAATTTTACATTGTGCATGGATATATGTAGTGCATTTTTGATTATTTTTAATACTATTTCCTTCGTCACCCTGATGGCCATCAGTGTTTATAGCCGTATGATATTGCAGCATTATTTTGCTCATAGCGTGGCAAAGGTTCATCTGATAAAATTACATGCACTTTAAAAATGATATTCAGAGTGCGCGTGAAAGCTCGCCGCAAAGCAAATTGCGTTCTAAATCCTTTTTTTAAGCGAGGAATTTTTAGACTGACGTGTTTGTCAACACGGATACACTGAAAGGTGCACCATTTGTATGTTCGCCAGAATTTGATTCTCGCTAGCACTCAACTTTATTTTTTTATCTAATGTGGGAATCAATATCGTTGATTATTTTTTCTGCTTAGTTTATAATGAACCACATTTGTCACGTTTATAAACTAACAGAGGACGATTGTTTGCAAATAACAATAAAAAAGGCGGCATTCCAGAAGACAGTCAGGTCAAATATGTTTTAGCTGACCATGCATGTGGGTCTAGCGGAGTCGTGAGGTATTTTTGTAATTTAAGTACCCGTTATTGTGCCTTACAGAGAGGAGAGGCTATTTTAATAAAACACGTTAAATATTTAATCCAAGATCGTTCTGGAAATTTTGGCATCAATGCTCTCTGATTAGTTGTTTTGGTATTGTCAGGTTGGTTAGCTTGTAAAGAGAAGTACAGCTAGTGACATGGTTTGTATGAAATTTTCTTACCGTTAGCCTGGGAAAGGTGAGAGGTCTTGAATGGAGTAAAGGAAAATTGCAGAAACGTTTCTCTTATTTCTTTGCACAATTTATGAGTGCATTGTGGTTGTGGTTTCTGATGCCATTGTGTTTGAGTGATTGGTCGTTGTAATCTGAGAAGCGTTTCTGCCGTGACAATACTTCTCTCCGAGGGCCCAATCATCTGCTGTAGACTGCACTAATGGAGCTCCGGTTCTTTCATGGATACGAATGCTGCCATGCGACACTTGGGTCCTGAGAGGCGAAAAATCGCTCGTCAGGTCATACCCTTGTATGACTAGCACCAGAACTCTATCTTGTATTGAGACTTCTATGACTATCACCAGAATACTACCTATCGTGTATTGAGACTTATATGACTATCACCAGAACTCTATCGTGTATTGTGCTGCCGGTCTTTTCTTCAAACTGGTTGCAAGAATAGCTGAGATTTCTACGGAAAAATTTCTAACTCGACTTTCAGAATTTTACAGTTAGCTTAAATTACGTTATTTTCATTCCTTTCAAGCCGCTGCCAGCCATTGCTTCAAGTTAATTGACTGTCTAGTTTTTGAAAGACTGGAATTGTTCATTCTTTCAGGTATCTTAGTCAAAATTACTCGACCTTGTTCTAATCATAGAAATTCAAAATTATGGGATGAACTCCAGAACAGGGAAACAAATTTTTTTCCAACGCAATGAACAAGTGATCCATTGCAACCTCGCATATGACACCAAATACTTGTTAACAAGCATTCCTTTACATTAAGTTGTAACATTTTTTACTGTCAACAAATGAAGTGCCATGTTGCTTGCTCGAAATGACTTTTTATTACAGCTATATATACAGCTATATGTATAGTTGTAGCTAAGGCGCTTAATTCAAGAACTTACAAAACGATGGCCGGCTATCTTCCGTCTGGTTTAAGATGCATCAAAGTAATTGTTGTTGCATCTTAACATTAGAGCGAGATCTTTGGATTTTTTGACAAATAAATGAATTGTACATGCATGAACGATTTAGTCAGTTATCCAACACAGCATTCAATAAACATGCATGAGCAAGAATATATTCAAACCTAAATGTTAGGTCCTACGTCCTGATAAATTAGGTCGTTAACGTAAGTAATTATTTATTAAGTAGTCAATCGAATATTATTCATGTATCATTATTACCTTGTAATAAATTGACGATATTGTACGGTACTACGCGACTAAAGACTGGCACTATTCAGTTCAATCAACATTGATCACAGCAAAGCTCATATATGCACTGATACAAGCAAACTATATAAGATATTTTTAATAGATATACAAATGTTTATCACATATACCGATGCAAACAAATGACTCCACGAACGTGTTCGTGAGGCGACCCTGACACGACGTCGTAAAGAATTCTGACGCCTCAAATTATCTCAATTTGCTGTGACTGCAACTGACGGTGTTGCGTAGGAAGTTGAGAGTGAACTCGTGTATTTTTACTTGTTACTCAAAGGAATATTTCAAAACAATTCGCCCACATTTAGAAACAATTGACATTGATGATGTGTAACTACTCTCGAATTACGTTACAGTCTACGTGCTATATTTTCTCTTTCTGGCTGATTTAATTACTTTTGAAAGTGGCAATCCGTATAATTAACGCCTTCATTTTTCAGTTGTTTGACCATGTAACGACATAATCTTGGTATAAGATTATGTCGTTACATGGTTAAACAACTGAAAAATGCACATTCTTTTTACAACACTTCTCTTTAGCTTCACTTCTTGATGTTTGTCTGCTACAAATCTTGTAATCGAAATTAAATATACTTTTAGTTATCCTATCGATCTGAAATTTTGCACACTTGTGTAAAGTTGGAGACAATGCATGAATCAAATGTCAAAATAAATTATTTTAAAAATTGAAATTTTTTTTCAATATTAAAAAAATGGGAAAAAATAATTTTGTCAGCTATAAATCTTATAACAGATATTTTACATACTTTTACCTGTCTAATTGATCTGAAAATTTTCACACATGTGTGAAGTCAGAGGCAATGCATGAATCAATTAACAGAATAAATAATTTTGAAAAAAATTTATTTTGAGCTGGTAACTTGAGAATTTTAGCTAATTTCCGAAGTAATAATGGCAAAAACAAATCTACTCGTCGCAGCTTGTTTTTTTTTTTTTGCGCAAACCGTTTCAATTTACGTAGCTATATTTCTTTTGTTGGTGGCTTGCTAAAACGGTAAAAAGCTTAAATTCTTTGCTTGTATTTTATTTAATTTCATTATTATTCATTGATTATATTTATGATTTTTATTACATAATATAATTATATAAATATATAACATAATGTATTATGGAATATTATATTATTTTATTTATAATTATATTGAAATAAATTATATATATAATTTATTTATAATATTTATACCTCTATTTAATTTTTAAATACGTTAGTAATCATTTTCCTAGTTATTCGTCCGCCTTGATTGCATTGAAATGACGAAGTGAAAATGTTGAACGAAACAAATTTTTCCCTGTCTCTGGAAAAACGCTCAAAACTTGACCTTCTGGAGAAACGCTCATGTGTTTGAAATCTATATTTCATTCTGCTTCTCTCAGCAGCAATCATTTATCATTTATCGTGATGATTACCCTTTGACATTTTCTGTGCAACAGCGCATGCCAAACTCGTTTCATCGTTATTTTAACGTAAAAGTATGTAATTAAACCCTATTATTAATCTCGGATTTTCGTCAGGTGCTGTAAACGTGATATCATTTCGTTCTTTTATCACCTGTAGACCAAGTGACAATTTGATTCATGTTGGTGGACGCAATTTGGTTGTATTTTCTCCCAATTATCCCGTGAGTAGTTTTGCATCGCCCTATAGTTTGTACACTGCTGATTAAAAAGAATTGTACGTCTCCTCCAACCCATTTGATTAATTTTGTAGGTTGTTCGCCGATTCGTGATTCAGTATGTTATCTGCCTTAAATTTGCTCCTAGGTGATAAAGAAGGCAGTTTACCTGTGTTTTATATATTTCGGGCTTATACTTAAGACGCGGTCCATAGGTAATTTTGTATATAACTAATGAAGTGGACGTGCTAGCGGCCTGGCTCTCTTTCCTCACAAGCATCTCGAGCGGCTCTCTCTTGAGCTCGGCAGGCTCAGCGAGTGCCTATATCGATCTCACACTCGAACTCTTGGCACCCTGACTACCTTCTGGCACTCATGGAACCAATACTATTATCACCTGCTGGCGCCAATACTGATATTATCTGATGCCACCAGTACTGATAACGTATTGACATATTATGAGTACTTTCATTGCGTATTGACTCAATTATGTACCTATACCATTACTGATATGAATCGCTTCAACCGCTGAAAATAGCGCTGAAAAAATTTGCTTGTTCTACATGTAACTACACGTAGTGCTAGCACGTGCTGATCGTGCTGGTAGTGATCGTTCAGTTAGCTTGCTGATTTTCTTTGTACATTTTAACTACCGGCACTGATAACACATGCTTTAATCTTCACCACTATTACTGTAAACATGAGAATTACTGTAGCGATATAACAGTATAATAACACTGCATACAATCTACAAATTGCTTGCTGTTCACGAGCTTGCAACTTGTTTCGTTTCGGTGACTTCCCATTCATATTTACCTGTAATCGGACACTATAATATTAATTACATATTCATAGTTGATGCAGGTGAATAATATTCGAAAATCATAATTGAATGTAATAAGCATATAACTTCATTCTTTTGTTTCAGCGATGCCATTATCCCTTATTTATCTGGAATCATCCAGTAAATTATAATTACATATAATTTTATAATATATGCTGGTAAAAGATATTTGAGAGACGTAGAATAATGATATGTTTTATTTGTGCAGAACATGCAGAGGCGCAACAGCGCAGGCAGCTTGACGGCGAGCTGCAGTGAGCGCTGGGTCTGCCCCAGCGACCGCAGCCTCGCCCTCAGGGCCAAGTGAGCTCTTCACTTCTAGTCCTTAATAAATACCATCTAAATCTGCCTGTGTATTTACTTTTGCTATTAAATAATATTTTTTTATTATGACGGCAATTGTTGAATTTTTATCTGGCTGTGTATTTACTTTCGCTATTAAATAATATTTTTAGCGCATTTTCTCATTTATGGAAAAAATGCACTATTGTGCTCGCCATGTCCGTCCGTCCGTCCGTCCGTCCGTGACCTCAAGTTTTCGTCGACGAGAAAATGTGCTCTCTGTCACTCACTGCAGTGAGTACTGAGTTATATTTCTTTATTATGACTGCAATTGTTGCATTTTTATTCTATATGATGTGTGACTAATTGGCGAGTGTTAATTTGATTTCAGACTTTAAGTTCCCTAAAGGAAAGAGTTAATTCCCCACTGGATATGTAGTTATAATTTTAAATCGTTAGAAATATATTCGAGACATCGTTAGTGCCTTTATCTGAAACTTGTAATTTCAAGTATCAAATTCACATAATAAATTTTTGTCTGAGCGTTTTAGTCCCGGTATATCATGTTTGTTAAAATATCTCTTTACATTAGGCTTGTGCATTGGGTATTCATATCTTTATATATATGATTACTTTATATGTATGAGTACTTCATATATCAGTAATCTCAAATCCTCGGTATTTTTCTCTCTGCATTACATTTAATTGCGGGTGGTTTTTCCTTGCGTTACGCTTGCGTATCGTATATTATATTTTTTCATTACGCTTTAGTTTCAAATACACATACATTTGTATAGGTATTATAAGTATTTTAATCCTTGCACTATCATTTTTATAGGTATTATAAGTATTTTAATCCATGCATTACCATTTGTATACGTATTATAAGTATTTTAATCCTTACATTACTCCATGTTAACAGTAGCATATGACCGTGTGCAGGCTGCGCATGGGCTGGTGCACAGGGCAGGCGTCGTCACCGGCGCGGCCTGAAGGGCTAAGCGCAGCAGAGACCGCCGCCATACTTGAGGTCATCCAGCGCGCTGAACAGCTCGACATGGCAGAGCATCAGAGGATCGGGTTAGTAATTGGTCATGTTAAATACATAGATGTTTTATGCAAATTCAGGTGCTATGTGCAAAAGAATTAAATAGGTTTGTACTCGTAGTATTTTTTTTTTAATTTTGACATCTTTCGTATCACAGAGTCATTTCAGGTCTTGCAGTGAAAACCGTTTAATGTTTCATATTTATTCAAGTAATTTATGTGCTGATTTGAAAAATTTATGCTGTTTTCGAAATTTCCTTGAAAATTTCATTGTAGATTTCTTCTTACCTGACCAAGTTGTGGCAATATCTTACTGGATCTTCTAATCTAGATGATATTGGCAATATCTTACAATATTTTCTTGCTTGATCTTTACAAGCCTCACATATTTAATTTAATTAATTATTTGAATCGCTCTCGGTTGGAAGTTGATCAGGAAATTTAACGCTAGGCAAAATGCCTTCTAAAAGGATTTGCAATTTGTTCCTCAACAACTAATATTATAACATGATTTGAATGTTGGTCGTTGAAAGCTGGGTTCAACTGAATTCCATCTAGAGTGATTCTACCTCAGATGTTTATTTCTGTTGTACTTGTGCCAGTTAAATGCTGAAGTAGAGAAAGGTTTTTTGAAATAGACTTCTATGATTTTACTGGTCATACGTCTGCAAATATTTTATTTCAACCTTATTCGCTGGAAACTAGATAGTTAATTTTTTTAGCTATTCACCTGCACAAAAAAACGTTATTTTTATTCACTAGGAACCAATTTATAGAATGAGAATCCTCTGGCAGCAAAATCTTTACTCGCTAGTTTCGGATATAATCTGAAATTGATTTAAAAGTGAGCTGTCTCAACAGAAGGCGAGACTCGTAAAAGCAAATGGAACGCTCAAGATTTCATCCTGCAAATGGAAATTTATGCACCGTGTTCTTTTGATACGCTCTTCACCTACGAGTTTCCTCGGCATCCCTCTGAGACTGCATATCTTTCCTCGTTCAATTTAAATGCAGAGTTTAAAATAAAGTACGAAGCAACAGACGATCGTTGCGTGAAATGTTTGTGTGGTTATTCTTGCGAATGTAAGAAATGTTTTTTTGTTGACTCGTTGCTTTTCTTTGAGCGTTGGTTTCTCTCAAGATTTATGATTTATGACGATTTACCCTAAAATCTGTTGTGATATAAATTACGTAGTTCACACAAATCCTGCACAAATCACAAACTATTAGTCATGTAAAGGTGTCCGAATTCATGACATAGATTAACAAACTCGATTTTGAGTTTTTCACGTCGGCATAATTTCTTTCACACTTCTGCTTGAACTGATAGAAATTTGTTATTTATACTGCGGCCTGCATCACGCCTGTCGCAATATTTTGCTCTAAGTATGTAACATTCTTCGGGTTTATTGCAATGCATTTTGTTGACAAGTAATCACTGAAAGTAATCGTAAGCTCACACTGGAATAAAGATGCAAAGTCAAGCCTCAGATAAAATCTTCAACTCTAAAGTCTAAACAATTCCTCAAATTTGATTCCAATCAATCAATTCCAAGAAAAACAAGCTGCATTCTGGTAGCCATAGTAGACGCTGTTAATTCTACGATTACATCAATGTTACTTATACATATGCAAAGGCTCCAAATACTTCAAATCAAAGGCAGTCGGGAGTATCTTGAGATACATCAATGACAGTTCAATTAATTTAAGATGTACTGGACAAATATAACTTATCGGTTTATCCTAAATTCTCATTGATACCTCAGACGTCTGGTGGGACGTGTGACGGCCATCAGAGAGAAGGCACAGGGTGACGGTAAAGCGTCGTGTATTTTGTGTGGTGAACGCCTGCCCCTTCTGCCACCTGCCTCCATATGTCATCACTGCCGCCAGGTAAATGCTCCATCCACTGCCACCTGCCTCCATATGTCACCACTGCCGCCAGGTAAATGCTCCATCCACTGCCACCTGCCTCCATATGTCACCACTGCCGCCAGGTAAATGCTCCATTCACTGCCACCTGCCTCCATATGTCATCACTGCCGCCTGGTAAATGCTCCATCCACTGCCACCTGCCTCCATATGTCATCACTGCCGCCAGCTAGGTAAATGCTCCATCCACTGCCACCTGCCTCCATATGGCATCACTGCCGCCAGGTAAATGCTCCATCCACTGCCACTTTCCTCTATATGTCACCAGTTCCACCTGCCTATCCGCCAGCTGGTCTCCGCTCTAGTATCTGCTGCCTCGGTCACAGAGTAACTTCTCACCAAAAACGAAATTTTTGTCTACATTGTTAGCGCTGGCACGAGCCAACAACTTTGTATACGCTCCAATTACGTTCAGAAATCAAGGTAACGTACAGTTTGAGATTGTAAATGATCCAAACCTTAGTTCACTACTAGGACCGTTACAACAAAATACGTCTGGTTCAATAGCGATGGTCGTCGCGTGGCCGTCAATTGGTTGAAATGACGACCTCGCATTCATAAAGCTGGTGTATTATGCCACGCTCCCGTCCATTCGAGCAGACTCTCCGCACTGTAAGCGAGCTTGCCAGCATCAATGGAGGTCTATGAATACGTTCAAGTTTGTAGCAGCATTTCGTGTCTTAATCTGTTTTAATTATCTATCGTAAATTCTCATAGAGTCCTGATCTACATTGTTTCAAATTGAGTCTACATTTCTAACTCATAAAGCTACGCCGAATGCGGCTAAAGTGCTTCGCGTTGCGCTTCTTCATATATGATCTTCTCACTTGCATGACGTATTCTTCAGAGGCTGTTGCTCTTCCTGCAGTACTGAATATGTTCACTGTATGAACGCTGACGAATGCAAAGTAATACACCTTGGCCAGAATAATGAACAACAAGATTACAGTATGAAAAGACACGGTTGAAACGACAGAGTGATGATGTCGAAGTCGACAATGGAAAAATATTTAGGAGTAAATGCCGGCAATGAGTTGAAATTTTCTAAGCATATTGAAGCTCAGTTGATAAAGCCAATAAACGACTTGGACTGATCAGACGCTCTTACGAGTACATAGATGCTGAATCGATGAAACTGTTGTTTATCGCTGTCGTGCATACTAACCTAGAGTTTTGAAACGCGTGTGGTCACCACAACTAGAAAAGGACAAAAATTTAGTCGAGAGTGTTCAAAGACGTGCAACAAGGATAAATCCGGGATTAAATTAATGCAAGCCTTATAAAGAAAGGTTGAAGATTATGACGCTTCCAAGCCTCAGTTATGGACGTTCGCGTGGTGACCTCATTAAAGTATACAAGTATACCTACGCTTTATACAAAGTGTAACACATCCATGCGACAACATTCCTTCTCGCTTCGAGTCACCGACATGTGGAACAGCCTCCCTGCATGATAGCATCGTTGACGCTCCGAGTATGAACGCCTTCAAGAACGGATTAGACGAAACTATACTGGAGCATATGTTCAGTCTTAAAATGCCTAGAACCTTACGGACCAGGCAATAAGCCCTGCAGCTATCTCAATCAATCGTCAGTTATGGAAAGATCGGGTTCCAAAGGCCGGATCCCTTGTGAACCAAGTAACGAAAAGTAAAAGCATCGGCAACAGGCACGGGCCTATTTCTTCAGTGCCGACACTTCTATTCTATTCTATTCATTACTGTCTGAATGTATATGCCTCTCATCAAATTTCTTCAATTTGGTTCTATAGTATAGTTTGGAGGTGGAAAAACGAGGGTTTTTCTACATATATACGCTTAAAGGTGGCAATGAACAATGTTAGCGTTCAATTCGCACATCTATAGAGGAAATGCGCGGCACGCGCACCTTCCTAGACGCTCGATGCTCTCAAATCGGAGCACGATCTCGAGATAAGACAGGTCTCTTGGTCCTCGTTAAATATGAGTGATCCTTTTATGCATTGTATAAGCTCCACCTTTCACGAATGTGTCATTTTGGATTAACCAAAATGACACATACATATATGACACGCACATATAATTTTTTTAAATGCAAACATTTTCGTGACTTATAAATATTTTATAACAATAAATTATTAATTGGAAAGTATATTTCATATCTTAACATAAGTCAAATTGTGTATGTATCTTACTTTCTCAGCGTTTCGGCGAATTCAAGTGCTACTATAAGCGACAATCGTCATTTCGGGTCAATTGTGACCCAATTAACACAAGTCATTAATGATATAACTTAATTTAACTTAATTCTTAAAGTTCATATGTGTGATACCACGATTCTTGTGTAAATTATACATACATAATACAGACATTTTCATGTGCAGGGCGTGTGCAACAAATGTGCACATGAACAGCTGAGCGGCACGGAAAAGGTTCTTCTCTGTAAGATCTGCAGCGAGACGCGCGAAATGTGGAAGAGGACGGGCGCGTGGTTCTACAGAGGGCTGCCTCAGAAGCTGCTGCCCTCGGGTGGTGAGGGCAACGGTCGCTTGGCTAACGCTGGCTCCCAGAGTCTGGGCGGCTCCAGCATCAGCATTGCTCTGCTCGGCCGACATTCTAAAGCTCCTCCCAGACGGGCACATTCGCTACTCAGCACCGGTCAGTTGAATTTATTTGTTTTAATAAATAATATTTTGAATTATTTCTATTTTACATCTTATTTTCATTTTGCTCTAACTCTATCTACTAACTGATTAAAATGGCGCTGCGCGCGATCGATAATTCCGGAAATGTAAGAATTCCTTAATCAAATCGTCTTCTCTGTTATGATATTTGAAATGATAGTTATTTAAATTGAAGAACTATTAATTAAAACGCGAATTGGAAATTATTTCCGTTTGGAAACCTAAAGTAAATGTTTGTCTCTCAGCGTTGAATGAAATTCGCATTTTAAAAAGTGACGATAATATAGATATTTTCATTGTTACAATTTTTAAATTAAACGTATCAAAATAAAAAAATTAATTGATGCAATTTTTTGGTTTAAAATATCAAAATTGAAATTTTCGAAATCACAAAAATCGATTAAAATTTTTATAATCTAGTATGAAATTTGAATTATTTAATCCAACTTTGGTAGTGCGAGGCATCAGGATTTAGGTATACACTATCTATTCGTGATCTTATTACTTTGTTAAATATTCCATGATTTACTATGATTTATTTCATTTTCTACATTTCGCGCTGACGTTACTTGACAGTTCTACTAAATATTCATCAATATCCCACAATTTTTTCTTGATGCAACCATCTCTTGTGCAAATAAACAATTACCGTAGTAAATTTCCCTCTTTTATTACCCAGACCTGACCAGTTTGCTAAGGATCGGGGACAAAGAATCAGATTCTGAGAGTGGGTCTCGCCAGCTGCAGCATTTCCCTGGGTAAGCTTCAATAATTGCCTTACGGTAATGTAACAAAAGAATTAATACATGTATTCGTCGCAAGCTGAGAAATGTGTAATTCCCTTTTTCGCTAAAAAAAAAGCAAATGATTGACACGAATTCAACTAAGACGAATGTTTGTTTTTGTGCAATGGGAGCATTTTATAAAAAGAATGATGTCCGTTGCTAGTCACCCTTACCGGCAATTACTGGCCTTGAAATGCCAATGCCTGATGAACCTTCAATCATAATTTAGTATTAATTTCTTAGGTCGCCGTCCCTGTCATCGAGTTTGTCTCCGGCCGCTTCGACGTCTTCCGTCGCCAGCCTCGCCGCGTCTCATTGCTCCCCGCGACTTCCCCGCAATTCTCCTCACCACCATCAACAAAATCACGAAGTTAACCAGCTTTCGCAACAAACGCACCTGCAGCAGAAAAAGACAGCTGGTTTCAGTGATATTTTTGGAGGCAACGTCGTTCCTGAAGAGAAATTAGAAAATGGAGAGAATGGTACTGCCGACTCGGCCCTGTTTGAAAAGCTCGTTTCGGATTTGAACGCAAAGAAAAACACCGCTGGCTGCGCACACGGCTGCAAGTGAGTCGAGCTAAGCTGCTTTCATTTTTGGTTCCTGTGATGCTGAATGAACTAAAAACCCGCAATGATTTATTACTTGAGGATTTAATAATTACTCGACTTGAAATTTTCCGTTACAAGCTTTGCTCAGCTTCACTATAGGAAACTTTAACTATTGCAAGTACGTATCTTTCACAACCTCGACTTCACGATGATATCTCTTCGACAATACAAACAATTTGGATATTTTTAATGGCATTATCTTCGTTTTCTCACAGTATAGTTCTGGCCACTGATACTCAGTGTATATAACAGCTGAATTAGAGACATTATTTTCTTCAGTGGTGCGGTTGCCTTCGATTATGACTCCGACTCTAGTGACGCCCCAGAAGAAGATCATGCGCGACACGGGCGAGAAAACGGCTGCGTCACATCCGCACTGCGGTAAAAACTCGGATTCATGTGTCAGCTCCTTTAACAGTAACTCTGTATCATCTGTAATGAATTATTTCTAGATAATGAATTCGTGTTTCAAGTAGATTTATATCAACATTCATTTATTAATTAATTTATAATGATACATTAATATTTAATTGGGAATAAAATTGTTAGGATAGGGGAATTGAATTTGTATCGAAAAAGTGCGACGTTTTGATGTTTATATATGTATATTTTTTGTATGTTTGAATGAAAACTGATATTTTCCAATTTTAAAAATAGTGTTTAACTGATTAAAAACTCTCACGTATTGATTGATGTTTTAAAAGAGTGACTAAAATTAACTTGTATATGTTGAAAAGTATCATTTTATCTGTAAAATCCTGTTCTTACCAACAGTTCATGTCGATTTGTATCCAATATATTTAATTGAAATAAGCTTTCATCCTCGTCCCGCAAAAGCCTGAACTTTACAACTGATGCCAGAACTTTAACGATTAATATTATTGGAAAATAATCCATGCTGTATACTCTCAGTAACGATGTGACGGCCGCTGCTCCGTCAGATTGGAATGAAGCTCAAGACCTGCAATTTTGTGCTTCCGAAACTCCCAGGACTATTTTGTCCGCTAAAAGCTCCAAAGAATCTGCTGCTCCGTCAGATTGGAATGAAGCTCAAGACCTGCAATTTTGTGCTTCCGAAACTCCCAGGAATATTTTGTCCGCTAAAAGCTCCAAAGAATCAAAGTGCGTACATTGTTTTCATCATTTATTTTTCCCCTCGAATGCTTTTATAATTGAGTTTTTCGTTTATGCCACGGGGAAGACTTGTCAAATTTATCATTGCGCTAAATTTCTTGTGTGGTTAGCATGTTCCTTCGCGAAAATTCGGAATTGTTTAAACTTCTTAGCTTGATGAAATATCTATATCTATACAAATTTTTGAAGAACTTGTAAAAATTTTATGGTATATATAAAAACAACCATATTTGATTTTTGATATTCTATAAAATAAACACTACATTCAAAATGTGCGATATGTTTGTCTTCATCAATATTATTCAACGAGTAGAGACTCGTTCGACTCGCCGGTCTTCACGACGAGTGTGGAGGATGAGACGAGCAGCGTGAGTCTCGACTGGTGTCCCGAGACTCGTGAGACGCTACAGAGACACGGCAGCATCACCAGCAGCGTGTGCAGCAGCAGCAGCAACAGCACGCTTCCCCTCGGCCACAACAAAGGGAACTCCAATAATGTTGGGGTTCCTGCTACAGCTGGCGACAGATCAAAACCTTCAAGTTGGTGACGTAGAGAGTTGGACTAAGTTCGTTCTCTTGTTTGTTTCTACCTATTTGTTGTATTTATTATTGTTGACACGGTTGCATATAGGGACATTTTTCCAAAGAAGCCTTGTTATATAAAAAATTTCGAATAATTGTAATAACAATTTATCCACATTTTATGGACTTTAGAGTAAATCGATTTCAAATATTATGCATCTCTTCTCAAATTTTGTTTATTGATTAATATGTTTCCAATTCTGAGTCGTACTAACAGAGGCTTCTATTTAATTTAAACGGTTTTTCCAGAAGACAACTTGGGCTCGCTGGAATTTACGTTGTTTTACGACAGTCATCATCAAAGCCTGCACTGCACAATTCACCACGCTCAGGTGATGAATGATTATTATTGAAAATCGTTCAATTCACTTTGTATCCATTCTTAGGATAAAGTATATTTTGTATCCACTTAGTGTCGGTTCTTCGTAAGTTTTAAATATTGAATTCAAAGATCTGTTTTAGTTTTCACAGTAATTTTAAAGATTATTTTATCTGGCTTCTCGTTGTTCTAAGAACTTCATCAAACTAAATCATATCATATCCTTTGAATGTTCACCTTCTAATTCTGTAAATTAGGTTTTCTTTTCTTGAAATATACCTATTATTTCAACTTCCACAGAACCTCAAATCGAGAAGCTCAACTGGCAGCGCCGACCCGTACGTTAAGCTTCACCTTCTACCGGGCGCCAGCAAAGTGAGCTACAGCTTCGAATTTTTTATCAAAACCTTTCGTGATTAACTCCAAATTGTTTCGCTCCTGAGAATTCTTGATCATATCGCAATAATAACCCGTGCGTCCATTTGCTCAACTTTTGTCTTGGAAGAATTTTTAAATTATTTCTCACTAACGCTAATTATCTTGTCCAATTAGTCGAACAAACTTCGGACGCGCACAGTTCCCAAGAATCTAAACCCTGAATTTCAAGAGACGCTCACCTACCACGGCATCTCTACTGATGACATCAGCAACAAGACCCTCAGGCTTCTCGTCATGGGTGAATAACTTGATAGTATAGTAGTAAAGTATCTTCGGCATTAAGTATACAGTATATATAGTATATACATTAAGTCTATAGTATAGTATCTTCGGCATGCCCATAAAATTATTTGCTTTAAATCTATCAAACGTAAGGGCGTTAAGTTCGAATAACTGGCATCTTCATGGTGGCTTGGTATGAATAAACAAACAAATTGAACGGATGAGTAGAAATGTTAGAACGTTCAGACAGTTTTAGCTTGACCAATACTAGAGACGTAACAAAGTAACGAAATTCTATGTCATGAATCCAACTTAAAAAAGGGGAATTAAAGACTATGTAAATTTTCCCACATAAATCCCATAACCAGTTAACGTGAATGCATCAATCCTCAAACTAACTATACACTATATACCCGGGAGTCGATCAGAGCATAACTCGCGCCTAGGATTCAACCATCTTGATAGGTCGCTATTTTGCAGCCACCTCACCAGCAGTTCTACTCGACGCTCGACGATGAACGAAACATATCGCAGTATTGCTGCTTCAGAAAATTTTTAAGACGTTTAGATATTCTTAATATGAGAAAAACGTAATAAAGCTGGCTATCCTTGTAATGCAACTGGTCTAAACAAACAGTTCTTCCCTTAATATAGGGATTTTAGTGAGCAATATTATAATTGTTTCGCAAAAAAGATACTGAAATATTATCAGAAAGCATCGTTCTTAACGTAAACCAACCTAATAAAATAATTTAAAAGATTTTCATCAGTCGTCATTCTTATTACAGTTTTTTTGAACTCTTTGAAGAGTCAAATTCGAAAGGAGTGTCACTCGAGTGGAGGCGTTTCATCGAGGCTTCACGTTGCGTTATCTGCCTCCCTAAGCCTGCGGTTACCCGAGTCTGCAACTTTATTAATTATATTTTTTTGTTTTCTAATGTGTAATACGTGTGGGATTTTCAGACGAGGGTCGCCTGCATCGCTACTTTTTGGGCGAGGCGCGCGTGGCTCTGAAGCGCGTCAAGGCGCACGAGTCGCGCCGTCTGAGTGTGCAGCTCAGCGACAAAATAAATGTGAGTGCAAGCAGCCATTCCTTCGGCACGGTAAGCTCCAGCAGCCAACACCTACGTTATCTTAGGCTTGAATACTTTATTTAACACGAATTGCGTGTGTGGCTTTTTCAATCAATGATTGATGCTGGAATTGAATATGTATTAAATATCTATATTAAATATGTAACACTGCAGAAAGTAATGTTATTATTAAAGTTTTTACATCCGTTGTTATTATTAGTGTTATTACGAAATAATTACAATCGTGTTCCTCTAGTGGCTGCTAACAAAGCTCCTAACCCGGCCGGAGTGTGGTGAGCGAGTGTTAATCCTCGCTGCTCACGCAGGCAAATGTGGCCTAGTTTCAATAATTAAATTTTCAAATTAATTCATAGGTAATTGCGTATAAAACGTATAATATAACATCCATGACCAGGGCAGCGACGACCAGACCAGTACAGGCCAGGAGCTGGGGCGGCTGCTGCTGTCGCTGCGCTACACAAGCGCTCGTGGGGCTCTCATCGTAGGGATCGTCCGCTGCGCACACCTTAGGGCCAGGGACAAGAACGGATATTCCGACCCTTATGTTAAAGTGTGAGTTATGATGGGCTATGGTTGATGATAATGAATAAACTTCAAGCTCCTCGCTGTCACTTGAGCTCCTCTTGCTTCATTAATTTTCTATAAAAAAAGTCAAGTCAAATCTCTCAGGCCTGTCTGTTGCAGCGCTCTTATTCTTTTATACATTCTTGGTCGCTGATCTATAAATTCTTGCTCTTCGTATTCGATGACAAGACTTACGTAACTAACTACTAAAATTATAACATCATTTGAATGCAATCACATGCGGTTCATGTAACAGCGATTCTCGCTGGCTTGTAGCCGTCTCTCCATACCTTATCGATCATCATCAGTAAAATTTTACGAAAACATTGATCGCTCAAGACAAGTTTAAGTTCTACTGTGGATAACGTTTAGCCAAAGCGTAGATATGATAATTTTTATCTGCGTTCTATACTTGTCAGTTTTTGATAATTATTTGAAGTTTATGCTCAAATGTCAGGTGAGATGAAATATTTTTATTCTTTCGACCTCGCAATTGAGATGTAACGGTGCCGTATATCCATTATTGTGTAAGGTGATCAGGTTGCTTTGTGTTGTAAAATTCATTATAAACGCATACTATGTAAATTGATAAGCATTTATTTTACGAGTTGGGCGTCAGTTTATTAACAAAATACAAATGTGGATTATAGCAGTTATTGTCTATCAATGAACGTTAACGGAAATGATCATTATTTACTTTGATGTGGCCTCTGCATTTCGTAATTATCTTTTATTTGCATTCACATCAGTGCCATCGGCTGCAAAGAGTCAATCGGAAATCCAAATTCAGGCATTTCGTATTAAAATCTGATTCAGATTGCTCACAGGCTGCTGTATTTTGGAATTTATAATTGAATTATCTCGATCATGTGGACCTGTTGCTGATAAAATTTATTCATGCTGTCCATAGGCAGCTGAAACCCGATCCTCATAAGCGTAAACTGAAGACTGCCGTCAAGTGGAAGAACTTGAATCCTGAATTCAACTCCGAGTTTACGTTCGAGGTGCGCAGGAACGAGTTGCCGAAAAGGCAGCTCGATGTGCGAGTGTACGACAAGGATGTAGGAAGAAGCGATGACTTCATCGGTGAGTTTAGAGCACGATTTATGGGAATTGTGGATAAAAATTGCTGTGTTGACGTCCCCGTATACGTAAAATTATAATAATTCAAGGTTTCAGGTTCAATTTACTGAATATACTATCCCAACTAAATAAACTTCGGGGTCGTCTCCGTTTGCACACTTTCCCCAAGAGATTTCCATTTCCCTCCTTAACCCTGTCTTCCTACTCGGTTTTTTATTTGCTAGACGTTCCTTTGTAGGGGGGGCAAACTTCTAATTCATCCTTCATACTTCCAGGTGGACTCGTTTTGGGTCATGATAGTCGAGGACCAGAACTGCGACATTGGTACGACGTACTTCAGTACCCCGACCGTCGCCATGACAGGTGGCATAACCTGCGACCCATGCATTCATGTTGAGCTCAGCATGCAAGCATTTCCGTCGTTGACGGAAGTGCTACCTTAGCGTCAGTGATAAGAAGGCAGCTAATTGAAGTAATTTCCTTGGTTTTTCACTTGACAAAACTGGGAAGGTAGGCCGAAATTTCCTATAGAATGACAGACTTTGTGAAGACCTGCAGACTATTTCATTACATAAATTATTTTGCAATTTTTCAGATAAAGTTACGGTAAAAACGAAGGGTGCTTTAGGAATAATAAAAACAAATTGACAATCAATTTTTTTTATTAATAAAAAAACGCGTAGAACATATTTGCCACTAGAGTTTGATATATTTATTTTTGCGAATGATTAATAGAATAACTTGCAAAACTATACCTACACGTTATATTGAACCAGCGATATATTTTGTGAGTAAAGAACGGGAGCAGATATGCTACGCTACGTTGATATAAACTGAATAATGTTATCAGTTAGTTCAATTTCGTTGAAGGATTATTATGGACAAGAATACAGGCATGTATTTTTTCAAGCCGCGCAAACTTATAATCCATTAAATATGAAATGAGCCTGCAAGAATAAGCATGAAATGTGTATAAACAAGAGACTTTTTTTTTTCTCCGCAGTTGTAAATTGTTGAACAATCTTTATTTTAGATTCTTTCCACATGTTGCATGTCATGAACTGATTTTATCGTTCATAATATTCGGATGCGTATGAAGTCTGCTGTGTCGTTGATTATTTCTATGTCTTGTACATTATAAAAAACTACAAATCTTACGAGTAGTCAAGCAAAGTAGCTATATTTTCCTTAGAATTTATAGACAATGCTTGACATTCTCTTTTAGAGACTCAAAATACCTGAAAGAAGCGAATGTCAAATATAAACAATGAAATGTTGTAATTGAGATTTGACGGATTGATGTTATATAATGAAATTTAATGTAGATAATCTTAGTTCGATTGTTCCTGCACATTTCTGCCACTCGAGAATCATGCCAAGGTGTAATTTTTCTACTCTTTCTCTTCGATTAAGCTCCTACGATAGTCTTCAATTTGTTAGCCCTAAATTTGCAATCTTATTTTTCCAATTCAAAATAATAACCCTTCAAAGAATAACCCTTCAAGTATCAACTTCAGGCAAGTGTAATAAAGAACCCACATGTGCCGAAGAGATATTCTTACCTTTTCATAACCTATATTTTTGAAATCACTAGTAACAACAATACTACTCGGTAACTTTCTAGCATTACTCGTTAGACATTTCTGTATTAGTGCATTTACATTACTGTATATCGTGTGCCTCCGCCAATTTTAAATATAATACTTCTTCTCTGCAAACTTTCTTTTTTGATCCATACACGAATACTATTCTATTCGTTCATCATTTTCATCTACAGGTGTCTAAATACCATCTAATCATTTCGTTAACAATGACTTGATAAAAATAGAAAAGTGAATAATATGAGTTTCACAGATACCGGGCAATGATCTGGATAACAATGACCCGCGTTTATCATAATACTATTATTTTCACTACCTTAAGCTTTAATAGTTTACCATGCAATTAGTCCGACACTTCTTCGATAGTGTCGTCATAATCTATTGGTTCAGATACAGATTCTTCTCTTGAATGCTCGGAAAAATGACACTGCAGCTGTTTCACTCTCCCACTTTCAGCCATTCTTCCTAATTCCGAAGCGAGTCCGCCAACTGAAAATAAATAGATCACTTTAAAAAAATTGCACGCTTGATTGTAAAAGTATTTACAAATATAATGATTGCGAAATCCGCAAAAATGGATTAAATTTTATTCATCTTCCACTTCTCAGAAACCAATGTATTGAAAATTTGCTTCACTCTCCCTAATAATAACTACCGCCAACACCTGAACTACAATGTTCATGTCTTATAGGACCAGAACCAAAGCCAAACCAAACTAGAACCTGGCCAAAAGCCAACGCTTCCGTATTTGAGACGACAATAATTAATATAATTCAGTGAATAATTTTTGCGAATGACAATGATTACTTTTTATTCTTGCGTTTGCTACAAAATAAATAGAATACACGTGTCACTGCAGCGAGCCCATGTTCAGATTACATCACCTATTGGGTTTGGCCTGATCCCAATTAATGTGCGTCTCATATGTAACCTCACACTTGTATGGATCGATGATCGATGAATATGGTAATATAATGGAAGTAAGGTCGTGCAGGCTGCCCGTTGGAAATTTCGAGCGCACGCGTTCCAGGAAGCCCGAGGCGGTGCGCGTGACATCGTTGAACGCAGGACTCACAAGCGGACGAAATGTAGAAATCTTTGATACTTCCGAGCCAGAGTCAACGCCGGTAGCATGCATAACACCTCGTGCCGCAACGCTACCGTACGACCATAGCTTTTCACCGTCCTAATGCATATGATTGAGATGAGAATTAATATAGTAATTTTTGACACAACGCTTGAGTAGGAATAAACAATGGTTAACATTTATATTTAAAACATTTCTTTTAAAAACAATGATGTGTTGGAATAATATAAATTTAAAAAAAAAATTGTTGCTGATGTCCTATTATAAAAAATAAAAACTTGGTATATGAGTAGGCCTTACCGCAGGACTCACTAAATCGCTCAAGTTCTTTCCTTCAATTAAAGAGACCTACAAACGTCACGTCCGATATCGAAGAGAAATATGACAGCTCACCGCCCATTGTGAGAGTATGAGGTCGGCATCACACAGATACTGCAGGGCGGTGGAGGCTCCTGCAACGCTCTTCATGAAGGGCGTGTAGTTCTGGTGAAGGAAGGCAGCGAACGTGGGCGGTGTCAAGTAGCACGTGTCAAGCAGGACCTCGGGATCTGCTGTGGCAGGCGCACGCTCCTCCTGGCGAAGGTGAGGAGGTAATGGCGCTGCAGGACTGTCACTTCCTGGGGGATATTCAAATCATTACAAGTTTTCCATATTGACTACCAAACATGTAATTTTCAGGTTGGTAAAACACGCTAGATGAGAATCTATAACTAGCGAGATAGTTCTCATTTTGTAAGCACATACACGGCTCTGATATACATTTTCAGTGACACTATCGGTAGAAGTCGCCTTTACTTGATATAGAATAATAAAAAAATGAAACGGCTTTCATTTCACTTGGTCAAACAAGTAATTCTATACTCCTGAAGTATATGTAAATTCGGTATCTGTAAATATGACGTTTTATACTCGAAGTATGTAACATTTCATTATAGTTTAACAAGTTGACTCCGAAGTGGTACATATGCGTACCACAAAATGTACTTCTCCAGGACGTAGTGGTACATAATTCAGGTTGCCTAAAATCGGCCAAATCCGAGAACAAAAAAAGGCCGGTAACTCAATATATACTAATTTATTTGTAGGTTCCGCTATAAAAATTCTATTTATTTTCTTTTTGCAGTATTTATAATTTAATTAAATAGTACCCCTATCATAAATTTTAGCCGGCCAACGCAATTGAGAAAAACTAAATCACGGAATTTGTCCGGAAAAAATGACCGTCTGGCAACCCTGTTTAAAAAGAGTACAAAAAATGAAATAATAGTACAAGATGAAGTAATCGAAGTCAAAGTGTTAAAATACAGCACTCACGCTTACAGTAGAGCACCTTCCCGAGAGCGCGGAATAATGGGAGTGCCGAGTCTTTGGCGTTAGTAGACGTAGCTACAGCGGGGGAAATGTCATCTGTGTTTGCCATCTTCCTGCGGGACTTTTTCTTCGATGGAGCTAAAAGAATATTCTTAGTAGTGTCGGAGAAATCTGTTGATAAACATTCGATAAAAGAAAATTATGAGTCGAAAACAAGTAAATGAATACCTTTAATAGGCTATCTAAAACAAATAGATTAATGTATGAGCATTTCAATGCAACCATAACTGCATAGAACTGAGGGGACTCGAGAAGCAAGGACACTGAATACATAAAAGTTCGAGCATCTACAATAAACTGGACTCAATTGGGTAATTATGGATAGTTAATTAAGCAGGCTTATGATAAAAATCGTAATATGGACTTCTAGAAAAATTACTTCACCCAGAGAGAACTGGAGAGCGTTTGTAGCAGAGCGTAGGTCACCAGAGGCCGCCTCGGTGATGCAAGTGATCAGTTCAGTGCTCACCGGAACGTCGTGACGACGGCATACCTCACTCAGAGCTTTGGTCATCAGCGTCGTTGCCACGGAATTGAACCTAATTAAAGTGTACAGTGAATAAAATATACGCTGAAGTCGATCCCAACTTGATAAGATGAAAGTGGTGGCTATTGATTTAACAGAAAATAACGGATAATTTTGGAAGAAAGGAATCTCAATTGAACATAGTTTCATAAAAAAATTATCTAAATCCAGTTACTTAAATAACGATTATAGCACAAAAGTAACAGATCTTCCATTCAATGATAAGATCACAACTTACTGTATGATAGTAACGCCAACAGCGGAGCAGAAGTTGGGTGGAAATAGACGAGTGGAGGAATGTTCCAGCTGAGGCGCATCGCTCATGATGAACACTGCCGGTGTCCTGCCGCACAAGACGTAACGCCTGCACAGCACACTAACAGTCAGTAGGTGGAGGGCAAAAAACAAATGCGTTGACCTGTGTGCCGCTAAATTTGATGCTTGAATGAAAATATTGAAAAAAAAAAAAACGTGACGGTTGACCAGAAAACAAACCTGTCTATCTACCTCGAGATTTGAGCATGCTAAACTCGTTCGTGCCTCATGTTATAACTGAACTTTAACAACTGGCATAGTGAAGCTATAGTAGGAAATAAACTTATTCAAGTTTAAGTATAAAAAGTTCTTAGATATCGATCGTTTCTGGGCTGCAGGAATCTTTGTAAAAAGTCATTGTCCCGATATAATAAATTTCGCGTAATTTATAATAACCACAGACCCGCACAAATCGTGTTATATAGGTATCATCCTTTGGTAAATTTGAAAATCATTATTTTCTATTTCAGAATAAAATAAAAAAAAACTATAGTAATCATCTAGTACTTCTCAAATACCGTATCCGATCTGCGATGCATCATGATTCGACCAACAAAACTACAATTACAGACCCAAATAATATCCACAACTGATGAGTTTGGTCAACACACTCGCCTAAATATATAAACAATGTCATTCTTCAAACATACAATCATACGCACATTCTAAAATATGCAATATTCAGAATAATAAGGACAATTTCATAAGAAAATATATAGAATTATTATACCGACAACCATGAAAGTTTTTACATGATGAATAGTAAACAAGACGAAAACGTTGTATGCGATACTTTCACATGGTGAATAGTAAACAAGAAGAAAATGTTGGATGCGCGATTTCCAAAGACCTTATGATATCCTGCAGCAGCGCTGGCTCTCTGTAGAAGACGTTGGGGAGGTCCTCGACGAGCAGAAGCTGACCGTTGTAGTCGCGGTTGGAGGGATTCGTGGTCACCGTCGTAACGCTGCCGTACTTGTTGACGCGGCTCACGTACTCACGGAAGAGCGTCGCGGCGCCAGACTCTGACACCTGATCGCCAGGAACCCACGGTCGTGACTCTTCTGTAGAGATAATTTTCTATTCTTCACCCCAGTTTGAGTTATTCGTGTAGACGGAGCTCGGGTTGATCCACTCCTTGACAACGACGGTCATGTCTTCAGCTAGCGCTCGCACGCAGGCCGTCTTGCCGCAGCCTGCCGGCCCTGTGAGCAGCAACACGCGGTGGCCCTGAGGAGGGCACACAAGTGTTAGGTACAAGTTAGGTATGCAGGGTATTCAACGTAGCGTTCAGGGCTCAAAGGTCAATACGAGATTAGGTAAAGATACAAAAAATGTTTTGCAGTTCGATTGAAAGCATACAATAGTTTAATTTTAAATGCAATTCGCTAATATATTAATATTTTTAGTATTCGTTTATCGAAAGAAAATATGATTCTACGAGTACAGTAATAAATAAAAGCCAGTTCGATGGGTCAATTCATAATACATTTCCATAAATCTTTACAACAAAATAAGATTCGATTCGGAAAATGTCATGCCGTTTGATGTAATATGCTACACAAAACTAGTAATGAAGTTGCTGCTTAAAAGTTTCCAAACACAGTGAGATAGTTTCTGCTTAACGATATATTTCTAATTTGTACAGAAAACTAATAATCTTACCGGGACGCCGGTGAGGGCGTTGATAAGCCATTTCTCGACCTCCTCTGCCTTCTTCTTGTGCACCGCCAGCCTGTCTTTGTTGACGAACTCTCCACTCCACAGCGAAGGGTTCTTGCTCGACTGCTCAAAAATTTCGTATCAAAATAAGGTCACAAAATAGTAAACAAGACAGTTTGCAAACTTAAAACTAGTTTATTTGATAAGATTTCAACTATTGAATTTAAAGAATCAAGTTGCTATACTCAAATTATTTATAAAAGATCTTTAAAGCTATGCTGGGATGCACTGTCACTTAGGAGGAGAGTTTAACATGAAAAAACTTATATTAGAAATTGAGATTTTTGAGAAGAAATGTAAGGTTTCTGCAAATGTTTAAGTGCAACCAAGAGTAATTATTATAGTGATCAGAACTTTTAGTGGATAACCGTAATAAAATTGAAGCAATTGAAATTGAATTACTCATTGGTCAAATTTAATTATTCATCAATCTAACATTGAAATAGCTTGCGTTTATTGAAAAAAAACCAACGATGTAATTTCTAAGCGTAAGATCAATCTAGCTCACACAACCTTTGAAATGCCCTTCAATTTCTTGTATATGGTGGGGGCGCCGAGTTTTGTGTCGTTACTGGTAGTTGTAGAGAAATCGTCATCATCAAATGAAGACGCAATCCACGACCGCTTCTGCTGAGGGGAAAGCACGATAACTTAGAAATAAACTCGGAACATAACATAACAAAACATATTGATCTCTTTCATAAAAATTACACACCCAATTGATTGCAATATTCAATTAAAGTTCAAAGAAACTTGGACTATTTACAAATTTTGGAAATATTTCAAAGTCAAATAAATGTCATCTCGTGAGATGTTTAAGTAATATGTAAAAATCTTACCTTACTTTTTGACGCCGCCGACATGATCGAGTCAATATCATATGTTTCTAACTTGACCAAAATTCATTTTCAACCAATCAATTCTTTCGAAAAATGCGTTACTTAACAACTCAATAAAAAAATCTGAGGAAATTTAAACACTTGGAATTTGAGAATGCGTCAACAGAAGCTTATGAAAATCATTTGCCTTGTGCACATCAGTTTGATAGCCAGGTTAGGACATCAGTGCCGGGGGAACGTCAAAACTCCCCAAGAAGAAGTCAAGACTTCTTCTTCTTGCGGCTACCACTACATAAATAAAGAATAATATCCACTTAAAACGACGCACGCTTCACGGGCAATCAGAAATAATTTTCAGGTGCGGGCGATAAATGATGGTACGATAGTTTAGTTTAGTGGCCAAATGTTTTACTAGCGCTTCAGCTACGGGTATTTAGCTGTCTCGTACCGAAAGTCAAGATAAACATCACCAAAGAGGTGGAAGATCTCAGTTATCGAACGTTTTTTAAATCAAAAAATTGTTCATCACCCACAAGGGGCGGAAGGTCTCAATTGTCCAGCCCGCTGAAGCTGGCTCGAAAGAAGCAGCGTTGACATCTCAAAGAGACGAAGTGACAAGGAGGGACAGGTGAAAAGCAACAGAAACGAAGACAGTCGAACAAGAGGTCGCTTACATGGTACGTCGGCCGCCCGCACGAGAAAGACAGAGAAGGGAAATTTAAGGTAACCTACCTAAATAATAACTTAACCGTACAACAGAGACCTGCAGTCAGACACCGCGAGCTCAGCGGTGGGGCGCTCAAGAACAATCTCCCTAGGAGCGCGAAATCCCATAGGACTTCTGACGAGCACAGACACCCGTCAGAAGTCCCCCCTGAGGAGGATGGTACGAGAAACTAATGCAATGATAATAAAGTGAACACAGCAATTTTTAGCATTTATTTGTCTTGCTTCTCGTTAGGAAGGAGGCGAAGTTTTGGGTCTGCTGAGCAGTTCAACACACTTCGAGTGGTTTGCAGCTGAAGCAAGGTCGAGAGCTGAAAACAGAATTAGATTTTCACTGCTGCATAGTATAAACAAAGATGAATAACATCAATCACCAAATTTTTTCCATCAAACCAGGCCATGATCTAATCGTGTTAGACTGGACATTAAATATAGCATGAAAAAACCTTGAAAAGTGATACCTCAGATTTTTAGATGTAAACCCTTGCTTGAAATGTCCCATTTTACTGTTGAAACTCTGGTCAAATCAAACTCTCAAATAAAATCCTGATATTAAATAAAATTCAGATTTGGAGTTGAGCGCCGTCATTAAAAAACCCATCATATCATATGTAACTAAGAGAGAAATTGCTGAGCTATAAAACAGAGGGAATCAGATAAAGCATTTAGTAAAATAATGATAGTAGGACCTAGAATGACGAAAAAAGTTCAATACTTGAATTTCCAGACAATTCGAGTGCGAGTCCAGAATATTTATTTTGATACACACCGTTGTGTCAACCTCATACATAAGCCATTTTATTTGTTTGTAGTCCGAGGGCTTAGTTTGAATGAATTACTTCATCATTTATTTTTGTCAATCTAGAGCTACTTTATCCCATATTAAAGCACTGAAAATGGAAACACTATGAACTCTTATAGTACTGCTTTGAGACTCGGACAATAGGAGTAAATCCTGGAATGGCGACCGAGTAACAGACACTTTCAGGCGGAATGTGAAGTACGTCGCTGACACTAATGAAGTATGAAACAGACACGGCATTAAATAGTAACCATAAATTCAGTATTTCAAATACTATTTGCTAAGGGGATGTTTTTCCTCATCACATTGACTAAGGAAATGAGTGAAAAAATATTATTATTTAATAATGGATACTCAATAGTATTGGCTACACAATGTTATTAGATAATACTACTGAGAAATCAAATCAAACGATTTTATCAATTAAAATAAAAAATTCAGCAAAATAATGCAGTGTTGGGTCCATTACCTGAGCGGCCGTTGTGGTCCAGCGTGTCGGCGGGACAGCCTGCACAGCTGATGAGCCACTGCAGCACATGGCTGTGTCCGGCCCTCGCTGCGCTGTGCACGCAGTTCTGACCTGTACAGTTAAGCAGTGGTCATTCAACTTGACGGTCTTAATTAGCAAGAACTTTCTAGAAATTTTTCCTTCTTATCTTTTTCGGGTTTTACTCAACCAGATTATAATATTAACTCGTTTATATTACTGTTAATTATTAGTTTTAATCACTAAAATCTGTAGATTCTTTTGTATGGACTCAAAATTAGGTGGATATTTTTTCAATAGAATAAAATTAAATCAAGATATGGCAGATTTCGCAAGTCTGTATTGAAAAATAATGTGAATTTTACTGTTAGATTATGATAAATTCACAAAAAATCCGCAACTATTCAATTCTTGCCAGGAGCTTGTTTTCCATGAAGAGGTAAGGACGCACCTATTATATCGCAGTGCTGAGGGTCGAGGAGCAACTCCTGCACTAAAAACTTGACCGTCTCCAGCTGGCCAGTTTCTGAGGCTATCTGATCAGTAAATATTGTCACTCAGAAAATACAGGGATATTTTAAAAACATATAAGAAAAATAAATCAAATTTGTCTGAGAAAATTAGGTAATCCCAAAAAATCCACTACCTAGTTACTCTCGCACGAGACCAAATACAAATTTAATATGCAGAACATTGCTAGATCTACAAATAAGAAGATGGCATTACGGATAAATTATTAAAATTTACAAGCTTAACTGAAGTCGAGAAAATAATGCAGTGACATGATGACTTCGTAAATAGACTTGGTGTCATAAATCTGTCACGCTTATACATACCATGCATACATAACACACGAGCATAACCCAAATATGACGCAACACTTAATTTTTCACACATTTCTTTTTATATATACCTCCCAACAGACTATATTTCGCTGTTGAAGTTCCTCGCAACATTGATAATAGAAGAATGGTTCCCAAAGAAAATTTCAGAGCCACATTCTGGCCTGAACTTCACTTTCAATAAACTCAGAGCGCAATAATTACTCATGATTCAAGAGGCCGTACTATCAAAACGAACTTGAGCACATGTAGCGGTAAATTTGTTGTCTGTGATTGGTAGCTTTAGATAGAAAATCCGACAGTGATCGTCTGACTGAGTAACGAATTCCTAAGTAGTATTTTAAACAGTACGACCCGAGTTCCGCCATGAGCAAACCTGAAGAGCAGATCGTCCTCGGGCGTCAGTGAGACGCACGTCCGTGTCAGGCCAGAGGGAGATGAGGGCACGCGCGGTGCCCACGTGACCGCCACACGCGGCGTCCATGAACGGTGACAAGCCACACTGGTCCTTACGGTTGCTGTTAAGGCAGCAGGAACAGTGCTCTCTGAGTGCCTCCAACACATCCGTGCGACCGTGCAGGGCTGGGTAAAGTAAGAAGATAAAGAAATTTCATATGAAGTTGAACTGAATCAATGAACAAGATAAGAGGTTTATAAAATCTTAAAATTCCTCAATCCAAAAATAAAGAGATGTTCATCTGGCAGCAGTAAAATGAATTGGGTAGTGATAAACTTATAAGTTGAGTGTTAATAATGCTGTCCATCTTAGTGTTCTACTTCAGCATTTAATTGTTCATTTTACTGGGTACCTTGCAGCTTTGCTCCTTCACTTTTCAATCACGCGCTTAAATTAGAGCCACAATCTTCATTATGTTTAGGTATTCGTCAATCTGGAAGATTAAATACAGTAACACTGGTATTATGGGATCAAATTTTGTTCAAACCTGCATAAGTAAACACATGGCAGAAATCCCTTCCGCAATATTTTATGCCGTGACACCTTGAATATTGACAAGAAAGTAGGTCAGAATGACTCACATGATCTCACCAGCGGTGTGGAGGGCAGTCCTGCCATTCTTGCTGGAAATGCAGCAGCAGTGCTCCAAGGACAGCAGCAGCAGCTGAAGCACATCAACGCTGCCACTCCGACAGCAAATGTGTGCTGCACTCCAACCATCCTAACAAATTAAAATACACATATAAATATAAAAAATATTAATCAGTTCACAGGAAGTGTTATGTAGCAATACCAATTAGCAACACCAAGGAGGTTCATTTTCTATCTCAGCTGTTATAATTCCAAATGACAGCAGACATAATAACAGCAAATGACAGCAGACAAAAGTACGTTTATTCATTACTTGGAGAGAACTGCTAAGCACTGAAATTGATGCATGTGACTGAAATTTGACATTATGTAAATCAAGTTACAATATACTAAAATTTATGAAAATTTTGATGTAAATTCTTACCTTATTTAGTAGGGCTAAATTACTACCAGCTGCAATGAGTTCTTTGACAATACAAAGTGACTCTGTAGAGGGTTTAGACGCTGCCATCATGAGTGGTGTCCACTCAGCTCGGTTCAAAGAATCAACATTGGACCCTGGGAAATACAGATTACATCATTTCTGCTGTTTTCTTTGAAAGTAGGCAAAAATTTCAATATACAAGCAGAAATCAAGATACCATTCTAAGCATTCTTTATTTATCATAAAACAATTTCCTTTTTTAAAAGTTGTTTTCCAATTATTCCAATTTCAACAGGTTTACACGATTTGATAAGACTATTATTCTTCCCTAGTTCAAGCTCTAAAAAATTCAACTGTAAATTCTATTTCAAATTGTAATGCTAAATATTATAATTCCAAAATTTAGCAGCAAATCAGAGAATGAGCATTCAAAATTGAAGCACCAGAACAAAAAAAAATATTTGCTTTCTCCAGCAGTTGAATAAGTCTAAACAAGAGTGATAGTTTACAAGTCAGTAAAATTCTTCATCAGCCTTTTCCATGGTGAAGGAATAAGGCTTTCAGTTGTGTACATAAAAAAACATTCATTCAAAAAACATTTCTGGTAAAACTGAACAAGCATAAATAAAAAATATAGTAATCAACATGAATAAAATGACATGATGAAGGGCATCAATAAAGAATTACATAAGGCCATAGACATTAGTCATCAAAAACTCAAATAGTGCCTTCAGTACTGGTAAGTAAATATATCAGTTCAATGACTATTACAAAATAGCTGGCATATTGAATAATCTCAGCTTGGACTCTTGTGTCCAACTCATAAGATCAGCCTGAGTCTCAACTGACAAGCCCCCAAGTTGCTTCAGCTGAATAGTATCAAATGGCAATGTCATGGACTTTGTCAGATAAGCAACCGTAGTGCAAATGTGAAATGCAAGAAAGCTAGGAAATGTTCTGAGTAACATCCTATAAAAAAGCTAGCAGCACTTGAAAGATAGTAAAACAAATTACTAAAGTTTTATTTCTTGCCATGCATAATATCAAACCAGAAAAGGTTAATTTCCCTAATACTATCATTATAAGTAGCCACAGACTAAATGAAATTGTATGTTAAACAGACATGTTAGTGTATTAATTTAGCATGCATGCTACACTGAAATGGTTTACAATTTGAAACACAAACAAAAAGGTTAATATGTCAGCTTCATACCAGCAAGGATTAAAATCTTGACAGCTGCCAAGTTGCCACATTGAGCAGCCTCATGAAGAGGTCTCTTTCCATCAGTGTTGCGCTGCTCTAAACAAACTCCTGCTCCTTGGTCCAAGAGGTATCTACAATACAAGAACATTATTATCTACTTTGCTATTGATTAATTTATTGGTTAATGTTGAGAAAATAATAAAGTAACCAATATTTTAGGTAATTAATTTTCATACACACCACCCTAATTGCCAAACAGACAATTGAATGAGATTGGTGTAATGCTAATCTTTTGCTTAAAATAAAGGAGTGGTAAATAGCATATCATTTAGAACAAAATATCTAATTAAATTACTCGGCAGTTAAATATACAATCAGTAAAAGATTGAAACATCAAGAATCCATGAGACTGTTTTGCTAATAAGTATTATAAATTATAAACCAAATAATAAACAAAAGTATCCTAAATTTTTATCCAAAAGGTAGGATGAATTTATAATTTCAATCCAGTATCTAAATCTACACTACACAGCTCATCATTCATTGCACGTACCGAATAATGTCTGCTGAGCATAAATATTTTGAAGCCAAATGAAGAGCTGTGTCCTGAGAAGATTTTTGTACAATAGAGGGCCATATTATAGGTTGACCTTGAGCCAATAAGATGTTTTCCAGTGCATGGAGATCATGTTTTTTCAGTGCAGCAAATATTTCCTGAGAACACAATAATGTTTCTTTTAATAATCATAGACATATTCAGCATAATAAACTTGTACTATATCTTGTCATCATTTTCTTAGCATTTTAATAGCTTAAAAAATCTTGAAAATAAACTGAAATATGTCAGAAACTAATGTCAAACATATTCATTTATGAATACTTCAAGAGAATAGTTTTAAATTAGCTTAATTTCACCCTCATAGAGATGTGAAAATTCAGACAATGGGTATTTAGCTATCAAACTTCAATGGTTATTATTACAATGGTATTTAGCTTCAAACTTCAACAATCATCCTCAATCAATAACACAAAAATTCAATTATCTTCAGTCAAAAGTACTAATAGTACTTTTATAAGCAATAAATTTTTCTAAGTTAAGGAAAAATGAATTATTTTGAGATTAAATTCATTATATGGCACAGTACCTATATGAGTTTGCAGCTGAAAAAGTTAAATCACCTCAATGGAAATTTTTCACAAAGTTGGCAAATTGACAGTTGACACACTAGTGGCTTCAAAAATATATTTAGTTCCAACTTCTAATTGTAGCATTACCATACCATTTCTAACCTATATTGTATATGGACTCAACTTATGCCTGTTCATTGATCACTTTTCCCAAATTACCCTTCACCATTGAAGGGTAATTTGGAACTTCAAGTTGAACTTCTGTTCAGGACTTCATCAGTTCATAGACTGTCAGTCACTATAATCACATGTGGCATGGGGCATGGTTAGTCAATATTGGGCAGCCCGGCAGAATTCCTAGAAAAAATCAAGGGGAAAAAAATCACTCCACTGCCCTTTCAAAAATTGCAGGTCTACATTTTTCTCTATTTTTAATTAAAAAATTAATCCAGGGCAGGCATGGAATATTTCTACCTTCTGAGCTGTGACTAAAGTCAGGAGCTTTCTTGCCATTTTTGAAGCCAAAAATTCCAGCTTGATAAATTACCTGCTATCTACTTATTAACAAATGTTCAAGATTATAACTATACATATATATACCTATATAATAATTCCATTTGCAAAATTATAACCCAATTTTTTAGATTGGCAGCTCAAGTACCATCATGAATATTCCTGATCAGCATTTAGTCCACCTCTTAAGTTCTCAACAGCAGTAAAATTTTCTTATAGAACACAAACACAAATTAATGCATTTCTACAAACCTCTCGTAAGAAGAGGACAAAATAAGGAAGGGCGATTCAAGAATAATTAGAATATACCTATCTTGTTTGCCGCTTTGAGTTTGACTCTGAACTACGTAAAGGGTACAAGTAAACAGTGAGAAACGAAAAATTAACATAATGTGCTAAATTTTACCTTGGCCATTGAACAAAATTCATTTCCTGTCTAGGTTATTACACAAGCTTTTCCAATTGCTAAAACTTCATACCACATTCACTTTATGGTAACTTGATTTGCTCAACAGTTAACAGAACGTAAAAGGAAGGCTCCTGCAAGCACGGGCACTGACGGCAGTAGATCCACTTGTGACAATCAAGTCCCAGTTCCCATGAACAAATGGAATAAATAGGCACAGAGAGAAAGTATTTAAAAAACACAAAAAATACAATGCAGCATTTCCAATGATATGACCATAAGCATTGAAATGGGCCGGCAGAGAGAGTGAGAGCAGCCCAAAAGTGAGAAAAGTGGTACAGGATGTGCACAACCATGTCTTAAAGATGTGGTATTTTTTATCCTGACATGTCGAACTCAATGTTTCAGTTCAATGCTTTACAAGTAATTTAAAAAGGTCCCTTCATTTTACTGTCTTCATTCTTCACGGTTTAGACTCTAGACTCTAGAGGGTTCCATGTGGATAATGATAGTTGTTTTAGAAGTGCTTGAGGACCTCCTTTACCATCTCCTCTTGCAAGAAAATCCAGAGTTGCTGATTCCAAACAGAAGATGAACAGTTCAAGACATTTCAGGCAATGCTCATGAAGAAGTGCATCAGAATATGGAATGTGAAAGTGTGGCATCTACATGTAATTAACAATCGTGTAATAATAATTCATTTTAGAACCAAATTTAAAAATGCAATTTATTGCTAGTCTCACAAGTGTTTGCTAATTTATAAGTGATAAACTGTCACAACAGTTTATTCCTAATGTCACAACAATGAATGCAGCATTTAGTTTACTTTGTTCCAACCTTCTGTGTTTATGTACTTTGCTCTACAACCTCTCATTAGAATTAAGAGTGAAGCCCTGTTCACATGACACATGCTCAATCTAATCAACAGTCTTGCATCTGAAGTGCTAGCAAGTAGCAACTGAGGCCACTAAAAGAGTCAGTCTTGCACGTCATGCCAGGTTTGACCAACAAGACGGAGTGTGTGGACTGTGGACACTCAATGTTTGAACTCTTGCATGACAGGTGGGCGGAGTTTGAGGTTTGACAAACCTGGTAAAGACAGATGCGCAAGACCTTTGGGCTTTGGGTTCATGCAGGGCTGGAAAAGTCCTATTTCTTTCTGAAATATTGCAGCTCTAATATCATATAATTTCAGTAGCCCGTAGGTATGAAATCTCATGGCTCTAATGTCATGTATTTTATTGCGGTTTGTACTCCGCAAACATGTCGTTTCATAAAACTGTCCACTTTCGCAATCCGCAATACTTTGATTATCCAGCCAAAATATCCTGCACAACATAATAACAAGTCAACTGTCAATCTAAAATGTTTCCTTAAAGATTGCGTACCTAGTTGCGGTCCAGGTCTCATACAGTGGCAATAGTCGTTGGAATTTCAATGACTTTCGCTGAAGTTATCGACCAATTTTGTTACTTTACGACTTTTGAGCTAAAATAATAGGTCATTTATCTTTTTCAATGACTGTCAACTAATGGGACTCTTCCACAATAAACTTATGACGACTGCCAACAAGCGACTTAGCGAGACCCGACAAGATACAACTGCGGTACTGACTAAAACCCAGACCCCAACAGCGCATTACGAGAGATGTGTATAAGAGACAGGTATATCGCACTGGATATAAATTTGTCGCACTGGACATAAATATATCACACTGGACATAAATTTATCGCACTAGATATAAAAATATCGCACTGGACATAAATCTATTGCACTGTTTAAAACAATCACAACAATCTCTCAAATCTTCGTTAAGAAATGTTCAAGTAATAAGTAATTTCGGCACTAAACGATGACTAGCGCGAGCGCTGTTAGCTCAGCTGAAATCGTTCCTAACGCTCACATTACAGACGCAAGACCTGCCGTGACTCCAACACTGTAGCAAATACCTCAATAAATGTCGCGTATGAGGGCTCACAGCGACAATAGCGGCTTATTGTAGCGTGTTTGNCCATAATATTCTTCCTATAAAAACAGTTATTCACTATTTGGTAGAGCCATGTCAACTGTCAAATTTGACACATTTTTCGATGATCTCACCACGTGGCATGCATTGTCTCTCTTTGGATCTCAATATTTTCCCGCTAGATGGCCAAGACCTAGTGTTTTTGCTGTATTTCGACACGCAAATGTATGACGTCACCATTTTAACCATGAATGAACGCATGGAACTAAAACAAAGCTTAATATAAAGGAAAAACTAGAGAAGTGACGGAATTACCTACGATGTCGGAATATACCGCGTTTACCCTACGTCATAGTGGCAAAGCAGAGAGTTTTTTAGACTCTTCCTCAAGTTCATTTTTGAATCCTATAAGTAGACCAAAAAAGTATCTTGGATACCAGAATAATCATACATAAGAAATCTGTTGAAATCTTGAGTAAATGAGGAAATTAAAAATGAACTGATTCTAAAAAATCACTGGTTTGCCACTATGCCCTACGTGTACAAGTTTCATTGAGCTAAGGTCATCATAGTGGCAAAGCAGAGAGTTTTTTACCTAGACTCTTCCTCAAGTTCATTTTTGGGTCCTATAAGTAGACCAGTAAAGTATCATGGATACCAGCAGTATCATACATAAGAAATTGGTTTAAATCTTGGGTAAATGAGGAAATTAAAAATGAACTGATTCTAAAAAATCTCTGGTTTGTCACTATGAAGGTCATTACTTTGGGAGATATTAATTGCTCACTGAATTTAGATATTTACAGTGAGACCGGCAGAATTTACGGTCTCAAATTCTTTTGAGACGTTTGTAACACGCGCATATTCCATTGATGATATTCAACTCACTAGAAAAATGTATACAAGTATCATTATGTTGCAAGTCAGATCACACACTTTAATATTAATCAATGGGAAATTTGTTTATACAATTTATCATATCTCATATCTGAAGTTTGGATAATCATATCTGAAGTTTGGATATAATTTTTGGTTGCCTTGGATGACAGGTCACGAGTCTAATGATCAGCCATATAACTTGAGAACGCAGCGGTCGTCGGAAAGAAATTCTATAATCTTCATGTGCTTTACAGTGGCAAGAACAATTCAACAAGAGAGCACTGGCCTATGCGGCATTGATTGCCAAATGCAAACAAGTTGATGCTACAGCAAACAAAGACTTAGTAACGAAGAAAATAAAATCTTTATCGAAAAGAATGGCTTTGATATAGCAGTTGGTGAAATTATAGCAACAATATGAACTTTGAAGAACTTAGTTGACCTACGTATATTGCGGGTGAAAGACTGAGTAGGATTGTGAAATAACAAGAAGCATCGTCGACCTTGTTTCGTGAGCACACAAAACTGCACAATGCTTTCACAACGGCTGTTTTAGCCCAACCAGTGTGGCCTTCTGGCGCAAGGCACTACTGGGAAATGTTTTTTTTTCATAAAGTTCTGTATAGAGTTCGCTGCAGTTCCAGCAGTGTGATCTGCTGAGACATCCACAATTAACACTAACTATTCAACACTGAAGATAGAATCACGATCAATCCGAGTAGCATTGGAAAAAGGAATTCAACTTATCCCGTCTACTCCAAAATGGGAAAAATTGAATTCCTTACATTTATGTACAGTTCATTCTTCACATCACAATACCGTAATGATGTCACTTGTTAGCTTGAATCGCAAATTCAATAAAGACTTGAAAGAAAAGAAAATTCTACAAATATTCATACTATTTTATAGATAACTTTTTGGAGTCCAGCTCCATCGTCAGTTCGAAAATTAAGTAAAACAGATAAATCAGTAATTAGTACAGTCAAGGGAAATTGTAAATAGATAGGTTTTGCCGTTTAGGTTTTTTTGTAATCTTGACTGTAGTCACTGTACTAATTACTGATTTAACCGTGTTCTAGAATTTTCGAACTGACGATGGAACTGGACTCCGAAACGTTTTCTATAAAGATGATATAAATTTCTGTGGTTTTCTTTGCTTAAAAGTTTTCATCACAGTACCATTAACAGAAGAGAGAATTATTGGGGAAACTAATTGAAGAGGCAGCATATGTACAACAACAGGTACAAAGAGATCGGTCCGAGTCTCCAAAATTAGCAAGAAATCACAGATATATCTTTAGTTTTAGCCGCTTCACTTCATTTGGTTCACATTTCATTTGCTTAGCTGGGCATTTGAATCTAATTCTGCAAATCTTTGTTTGGTGTTTAGGACTATCGATTGAGTATGAGCACGAATGTTACAATGAAGATTGCTAGTAGCCTTTTCTATACATTCTAATGTAACTTCCGTTGATATTTAGCGATGAATTCATACAAATTCACCTTATTCAGCATGAATTCTACCTAATTGCAACACGTTTTCATGCTTGGTGTTGAAACTCAGAAAACGAGAGATTTATTAAATTTTATATTCTCAAGTTACGCAAAAGGGGCCATTGAAAATTAACTCGAATCTATGCACGTAAATGTAAATTATGTACATGGCTAATGAAGAGGGTGAATATCAATACATAATGTACAAGTTAAAAGTCTAAATAAATCAGTAAATGCAGAAATAAGGCGATGTTCAAAATAATAACGTTATGCAATATTCGATAAACAGAAAGCGCATTGAAGTATACGATTCTTAATGAAAAGTATGGATGAAATTGTTGACTTCAAAACAAGGAACCAATTACATTCTATCGGGCAATTGCACTTAAAACGTGTTTTCAAAAAATGTTCAGCAACATAAATTGTTTCAGTACATGAATAGTTCTTTAGTAGCCATAAATGCGTTTCTCTTGATATGCTAGGACTTCTTCACCTGAATTTCTTCGTACGCGTCGACCGATGGGCTCCAGATCAGCATAACACTGAGGAAAGACTTTATCTACAATCCTTCTAGCCTCTTCAATGCCCACATGCCTAACGGACTCCACACTCCACGCAGCTTTGGTCTTCACACATTCCTGAATAATGGGTACAAATATCAATGAAATCATATGGAACAGAAAAAAATTCATTAGGACAAAAATAGGAAAATTTATTGAGACAAACTTGAAGGATGGTATGAAAATATCAAATATATCTTCGTATTGAATACGACTAATACCTACATTGGGTAACAGCTTTTATTTAACAAATAGAAAGCTTTAATGACATTCAAGAGGCAAAGCATTTGTTTATTAGGCATACCATTTACAGACAGGCAAGGAACAAATTTCTCCACCTAACTACAGTAGAAATCATGATCCTATGATTGTGACTACAATCATTTTTAAGATTTCATACCCTGCAAAAATAATTATTATTTCTCACTGTGAGGCTCATTACCTGATGAGTTTTGGCAATCCTGAAAGGTGAAGCATCACTCTGCGCAATTGCTGACATGAAGGAGCAGTGGGTTAAGTTGGCTGCTCTAATTTCTGTGCATGCCAAGTGTTCTATGTTCTTGAAATCCAGTTTGTGCTTACAGTAGTCAAACATGTGTATCATCTCGTGGGTTAAAACTCCAGCAACAAGTCCTTCCAGTTTACACATGTTCTGGCATACCACAATCTGAAGCCAAGGAAGTTGATTAATGGAGATTCAATGAAATGAAAAGATTAAGCGAGAAAAAATTAATGGGAAATTCAATTGAATATTTAAGGGAGGAATTGATACCACAAAAAGCAAGAAAACTAGCCGAAATGAAAGTTAAGCATTTTTTGAGACAGAACTTGTTGATGCCCAACACCTTGTCACAACAGGCTAATAGCAGCAAAAATAATTAACGGATTTAACATGTTCCAATAAACAAATTTTCACATGTGCACAATAGTTATTTGATTGATTTTACCTGGTTACTCTCAACATCATAGCCACCAGTGACTGAGGTATCACACACTTCACAAGCAATGTGTCTCTGGATGTCAACAGGACTGGAAAATTTCAGAACAAGTTATTTAGTACATAGCCCAAGTCCTTATTTTAGTTATTGAAATTAAAGCTCATATTTTGGACTGGCATGTTATATAGATGCTTTTAGACACAACTTGAATTTTTCTATAAAATTTAATGTTCTAAAAAATGTTTGTTAAAAATGTACAATAACAATTTTACAGAAGTACTTTTTACCCATGTACACTATTACATATTAATCCATACCTATCTTAAATTAAGCATATTTAGTGTAATAATTCATGCATATTTATACAACACAGAATTTGTTGAATCAAATTTTCACTCACCAGCCAGAAGATTTCAGGGCAGACATCATTATTTTAACAAGAGGATCTAGTGAAGAAAGAACAATTAATGAGTTTGAGGTAAATGTAAAAGGCCTAAACATAGAACAATGAATTTTTTTAATATTACTGAGATAGCATTGATAGGTAGAATAGTCATTCAATACATATAAATTACATACCTATTAAGTATCAAACAAGGTACCTGAAGTTGTGAATTTATCAACTTATCTAAATAATGTATAAGTGTTGGTCAACATTGCATGTCATATAGTAGTTTAAGTACAGTAGATGCTTGTACATCATGATCAAATAAATTTACTTACATTTCTCAATTGCTCTTAGGACTTTCCGCTCACACTTGGCTCTATCAAAATTTTCACGTCCATGACCTTTTAGTATCTGGGTGAAAGTTGGAGTGAAACGTGCCCCTTTTCTCTCTGGATACATGTCGTACCCAAAACTGAAAGCATTGTTGAAATATAGTATTATTGATGAGTTTGATAAAAATTACAATTTAGAATAGGTTTCAACCCATAATATCTATATTAGATTTACTGCTATAAGATTATATTTTCTGCCACTATAGAACTAAAAAAATAAATAACAATTCTGATGAGAAAAATTTTAATCTCTTTTATGGTTTCACATAACAATTTGGCTTAAAAATTTAGGACATTTAGTAACAGTTTTGATTTTATAAATTAATATCAAAATTATATATATTTGGAGAGTAAGATTTGAGAGGTGCTCCTGATAGCAAAGGTGGGAGGTCTTCTAAATATTTCAAATGTATTTGGAGAACTTTATGTAATGATACTTTGATAGGGATAAAATTTGCTTGCGGCATTTCATCTTAAGGGTGAAAATATTATTTTAGGTTCTTAGCAGTTATCAGCAAAGGAACAATTCAGTTGAAAGAACAATTTTTTGTTTTTCAAATTCTAAATTTTATGAGATCAAGCATGCAAGGATGTCTCTTTCAATGACTTAGCTGCTGAAAATAAGAGGAGAGTTCATACCTTGAGAAACAATTCTGGTTAAGGAACACTTTAGAAATACTTGAAAATGGTTTAGATCATATTTATAAGAGCTTGGGTTAAAGTTGAGAGCAAATCAGTATCATTGTTGTCAAGGAGAATCAAGAATTATTTGCAACGGTCTCAAGTTTCACTTTAAATAACTTAAATCCTTATGTTTATAAAAAATGAGTCAATAATTACAGAAGATAATACAAGAAATCTGGATTATTTTTTAAAATGGAATAAATCACTACCTATATCCATATCATCTTCCACTCCCTGCAGCTATAATTGGGATATCCCTGGCTTCAAAACAAGATATTTTTAGAAAATAGACAATTCAGGAATGTACAAAATAAATCCAAAATTAATAACCATGGTAGCTACTCAAAATCAACAATCAATATTATAACAAATTAAGTAAAACATATTTGATCATTTTTAAGTCATTTGTCTCAGAAATAACTTGTGTGAAAAAATATCAATAATTGAATTAAAAATATACAGCAGGCAGAAATTTGTAATTCTTGGTCAGAGTACATATTAAATCACTAGATTACATTTTTATACTTGAATAGGTATTTGTATATATATATATAATATACTTTAAATTTATAATACATACTCTTGAGGTTTGCATGCATCTTGCTTATCTTCTTCAGATGATTTACTCCAACTTTCAGCATTTAGATTGGTGACTTTCTCATCTTTGGGAGCAGATGAAGATGGTTCATTTGGAATAGTTGAGTGGTTTTCTGCCAAGGCCTCAGCTGACTGATAAGGTTCATCTAACATTTTGAAAATAATAAGGATGATCTGTAATCTGAAATGCTGGAAAAAAATTCCATTATGTCAGTAAAAATTTGTATATTAATATATTTTCTAATTTTCTATCGATACATAAAATTAGGGCTTATAAAATGCTGATTGATGAATATTTGGATAGGCAATATTGAACAATTCTTTCAATGTTATACATTGGGGAACTTAATAGCAATTAATTGATTAACCATAAACTGAACTGACAGTGATACTGACCAAAGCAAGGCTCTCAATTTCCCCATTTTTCTCTCTATCCCTGCATTTCAACTCAACTACCAAAGCTTCCACATGTATTGCTTGAATTAAGCTTTCATAGTGCAGTTTGAAAATTCCACAAATAAAATGAATGAATGAAATGTTTGAAAATCCCACAGTCCCACAACATTATTGTCCTCAGAGCCCCAAGGGAGAAAGCCATCTTGTTTATGTCATTTGGAAACAACTCAAGTAAATAAGAAACTTTGAATCCTAAAATTTACTGGCTACTTTCAAGAATGTATATAATTCAGATATGTGCTTTCTCTGCAATTACAGCTGATTTTCCCTGTTGTGCCAAAGTCCTGCCCACCCAAAGTCCAGCAACATGACTTATGTGTGTGTTGTTTGGCAATTATTGCTGCATAAGAGATTTGTTCATGCAGCTCTACAACTGCATGGGATTTTGTTGAAGCTGTAGCCACAGCAACTGTGGGTACATGATGAAAATTTGAATCTTGTCGAAACAAATAGACTCACTGAAGTCAGGTTTTGAGTCATTGAATGCCAAAAAAATATTAAAACTTAATGTTTCTGCATGTATTTCAAAGCTTTAAAATTGAATTACTTCAGAGTATCTCTCCTATCATACATACTCATTAAATAAATTTTATTTCAGTTAGAAATATGACTAAAAAAATTGGTCAGTCCAGGCGTTCTGACCGAAAAGTCACTTTGCAAACGCAAAGTCACTTGACATTGATTGCTAATTTTGCTTACTAGATTTGTGTTCATGCTACTTTGATATAAGTGAAATTCATCACCTGAAATCAGAATTTTCAAGTAAAACATATAATGACGTCATAGGAATTCTTCATGACGATTCTGTCTTAACAACATTTTTGGTAAAAAGTTTTCTATGAACGTAAGCTAGGAGAAAAAAGAAAAATTTTTACAAAAATTAATAGTAATTCTACTAAAAGAAGAATAAATTGAATGAACAAAATTGACTTAAACAGGCCCCAGGCCTAACAACAACCATCAGCATGCAATAAACAGTCTACGTGCAATGGTGCAAATGCAATATCTACACATGACATAGCCTCAGATCAATGAGCTGTGTGTAACTGTAAGTGACTCATATCACCACACCAACTTTAAGTCAGTGCTGCCTTACTCCACAAACCACTACATCCAATAGTCAACGGTAATCTGGCTCTGCTCAACAGATTTTTACTCCACACCAACCTTTCTGCTTCTCACTTGTACCGTAAGTCTTAACCGCTGAGCCACACTCCACAGACCACTCTAGTCTCTGGCTAACAGTAAAGGGTGGTCAGGGTCACCGTCAGGCATTGTAGCCTGTAGGTTGTAGGTAGGGAATAGGGCCTGCTGCGCTCCAGCCAGACAGTCGGGCCAGTTGTACGCGGTATGCCAGCGCAGTGAAACAGTGCCTGACTGCCTGTGACGGAACGGCGCTGTTGTGGTGGGTGCTCTGTGTCAAAAGCCGTGAAAATGCCTGGCTGCGTCCTGCGTGAAGTACAGCCACGCTGCAGTTAAAGCAGTTTGGCGCTTTGACCACCGTTGACCGTCCACGGCTGTTGTTGCAATGGCTTGATGCTATTTGGCCTATTTACTCTGTACTCACTTCCATGAAGGGAAATGGCCACTATGGCATTAGGCACGTTATAGTGCAGGCTACTATGCCCTCAGGCATGATAACGATCGGGAAGGTATATGAATCTCACTCACTGTGGACTTTGGCTATGCTGACTTCTACGTAGCTTTCCACCCGTGACGGCGGAACCCGTCTTCGGCAGGCATCCCCACCGAAATTAGAAAATTCAACCGGATTGGCAATAACAAATTTCCTAAAACTCAGATTGCGATTTTCTAGATATTGAAATTAAAAAAATACCTATGATTCGAATATAATATAATTTGAGAAAATTTAAACTTTTCTTTTTGTCTTGCGTAATAATACGAAAATAACTGACAGAACTCAGCCTAAAAATTTCTAAATTTTATATTCCAATTATTCATTATTACTTAGGTTTATTTTTTTAGAAAACCCATACCTTCAATGCATGTTAAAAAACTCCTTCAGCAGCTGCAACTCGAAGTGTAGATAGATAAAAAAACACGTCCGGTTTACAGGCCATTCTCAAATTTAAATAATGCATTTCAGCCTTTACCTCAAAAATTTTAATTCATAATGGACTCTGGACTGAATCTCATGTTGAGGATACAATTTGCACAGAAAAAATTACTGTCAGTCATTTTATTATCTATTATAGTATTCAATGGAAGTCATACACTGAGTACAATAAAAATTTAAATAACAGCAACGAACACTACAAGACAGAAATGAAACGCCTTAATAAATATCATAGTAGCACTAGCATATAGTGCATTCTAATCCGTAGCACTACCGTACACAAAAATACGTTTTCCTGAAATTTCAGCTGCGTTATCAGCAGTAAAATTTAATTCCACAGCAAAATGTTATGCTATTATTTCACGCCGGTCTTGCAATCGTCACAACCTACAATGCATTAAAAGATGAGTCCTTGGAGTTTTCGAAATAAATACATTGAAACTTGAACCACCAAAATATTACTAGTCTCTTTATTGACTCTCTTACTGCTCTAGACAGTAACCAAAATTCAAAAAAAGCTTCATTGCATCAACATTTGGGTACACAAACTTTGAGTTAACATGAACTAGCAAAGACGAAGCTGATATTCTAGGTATAATTAATAAATAGATCCTGTTCACAATTTACATGTAAAACACGCATCCACTACAGTGAAATACTACGAGTAATGACTGCACCAGCTGTACAATGGAGAAATTTATCAGCCGTGGATGGAAGCAGCGATGAGGCAGGAGGAGTTCGAGAACATCGCTGAACGGAGATGCTTACGTAGGCTTTTGAGATCGCCCAGAGCTTTGGTTGAGCTGCTGCAGTGACTGCTATCGTTCCTTTGCCGCTCCATGCATTCCAAAAAGTTCTGTTATCAAACAAACAAGTTATTCATTAATCCATAGCAATAATAATATGAAAGTTCCGACCTCGCCAGCAAGCGGACAAAATAAAAAATAAAAACGCCGGATCCAATGTAAAATTCAATAGACGAAACAACGAAGTTGTAATTATATATTTACAATGAGACTCACTAGGAAAAGAGACATTTATGATGCGAACCTACCTTCCTCTGCATGCAGCGAGGCTCTGTCTGCAGGGAGTATACGGAGGAGGCAGAGTGCGACACGAGTCCCGTCTCCCTGGCGCACAGCATCAGGTCGCGGTACTGACAAGCGTTGTGCCCTAGAACTGCACGAGCAAAGTTACTAGAATAATAGTGCTGCATAACAGATGAGACAAGATCACGCTTATTGTGTGTACTGTCAAAGGAAGCCATTAGTACCAGAAACTTGATAATTCCAGAAAAGATCACAGTAGAAAAAAATTGATAACATGTATTAGAAATTAATAATGGCTACAAAACTCGCAGCACATATGAACTTGTGAATTAAGCCACCAAAATCAATTTCTTTTGGCTAATTTTTTATTACTTTTATTTATTTATTAATTTTTAAGCCATCAAATAAACGAGATTTCAAAAATCAAATATTTATGAGCGCTTGACGGAGTTTACATTTCGATTTACTTACACCGGCCAATAAGCTCAAGTTAGAAAACTCTGAACAGTGAACACAGCTCAAATTAATGTACAAATTTAGAAATCTCAACTCACGCATATTCGTGCTGTCCTGCTCAAACTGGACAATATCGATGACCATGTTGGATTCAGATGAGCTATTCCACATTTTCTTTCGTTTTCTCAGCCTGCGTTGCATCCTCCTTTCTCTTCTCCTTGCTCTCCTCTGTGCAATTCTTCTTCGTCGGCGATCGCTGCGCAATTTTCGTCGTTCTGCTTCTGCCAACTCGTTTCTAATTGCTGTAGTTTCATCGACCGCCACGTCAGCATCGCTGTTGTCTATACTACCGTTATTGTCGAGACCGGCTAGAGGATTCTTGCGTCTTCTTTCACGCTCTCTCATCTTCCTTCTGCGTTTTCGCTCTTCCCTCCTCAATTTTCGTCTCTCTCGTCTTCTCAAGATCCGTTCACGTCTATTTACTGAGCTTCTTCGCTCGCGATTCAAAATCTCTTCTAAGTCTTCTTCGATCGCTTCCAAATCCTTTTCGATCACTTTTCTATCTTCGTCTAGGTCTTCGAGTCGTTGGATTTCTCGCTCTAGCAAATTTTTCTCGAATTCTAGCCCCGCGGTAAGCTCTTGACTACCTAATTGCTTTTTGTAATTAAATTCATTTTTTTGATCGGAACTTGGCAGCGAGATTTTCTTCTGCTTCAATAAAAATGAGGATTCTTGTGCATTCTGAGAATTCCTCGAACGTCTATCCAGAGTATCTTGAGCTTGCAGTGTAGCATCTCTCGGAGAATAATTCGCATCTTGTTCATTATATTCACTGGTTAATTCATAATCCCCTTTAGTAGAATCCAAATGCGACCCCAGTTTCTGAGGCCTGTTCTCGCCTTTTTGTTTTCTTTTATGATTGGAGCGGAGCCCGCGTTGTTCAGAGACCGATGACTGCGCACGTCCGTCGCCAGGAGTAGTGCCGGAGTTTCTGTCGTGTAGATGACTGGGAGAAGTAATCTTCATGTGGGGATTGCCATTGAGGTCCTGGTCATGTGTGGTTGCCATGTGTCGAGGCCTGTGGAGGCCTTGAGCCTGCAGACGCGCGGCCAGACTTCGCCGGTCTCGCTGCCCGTCTGGTCTGAAACAGATGTCGGTTCTGGGGTCAAGAGATAATGATTTCCTTCCGATGAATAATTTGACTTCAACTCGTATAGGTAATTATGCCTGAAGTGCTTACTTCTGATACGAAGTGAGAGAAACATGTTTTTAAGCGAGGTATTATAGGAGACGCTCGTTTTTATTCCTAGAGAATAAACTAAGTAAATAATAAAAAAAAGTGAGAAAATTTAACCTCGCAAACCAAAATTTGAGCTTTTTTCATATTTTGCCGATTTTCATTGATCTATAAAATTTGATTGTTTCAAACATAATAGGTCAATTAGTAAATTCTGTAGTCCAATAACAAACCTTTACATATATAAAGAAACAACAGCTCTACTCACTCAATAGAGAGGACGGAAATCTTCTTGCCTTGCTGCCACGTGGACTTCCATGTGAAATGCTTGCCAGGAGGAGCTTTGGCCACCTCTTCGGCTACAGGAACCGGGTGCTCCTTCCGTAGTCTTCGGCTCTCAAAGAGGCCTTCACGTTCACGGCTGTTGTAGTTATTGCGATTTCGCCGAATTTCGGATGTTCCTTGATTTTGGTGGCTTGTGTAAGGCCCTTGATACCCATCAACCTCATGCAATTCATTAATTTCATCGCTATCATGAAGCTCCTGATGTTCTTGAGGCTCCAGATGTTCATGATTTGTGCGGGGCATTTGGAGTCCGTAAATCGCGTAGGGACGATGGTTGCCATGGGGCCAGAGGTCGCCACGGCGTCTGTGGTCCTCGTGAAGTCTTCGCTTGCGATGATGGCTGCGTAAAGAATTGTGCTTGCTGCTTACATCACGTCCAGAACGACGGACCAAATGTTTCTCATGAGTATACTCATCGTTTTCATAATCAAGAACATGGTCCATTCTGTGTAGCGATATTTTACTGCGATCATCATGAGATGAAAATGGATGGAGAAAGTACAACTCCGAGATGTTGACCTTGGCGCTTGCGTTTCGATTGCGATGGCCATCATGAAGCGCCGATGTGTTATTAATATTAAAGATAAGCTGCGAAGGGTTCCGACTTAGAGTTAAAATTTCTTCCGAATTAGTAGTAACTAGATTTAGAGATATAAAAATTAAGAAAGAAATTATAAACAAATTAAAATTATATAGGAATCTCGTCTCTGGACGGTGTTTATAAAAATTTCGGTAAACGTAACTTAGAAGTAAAGGTTTAGAACGCCATTCAGGTTCAGTTTTGTGGCTCATGTCACATCCAGTATTAGCTGGATTAAAAGTTAATGCTTCACTACAACTAAATTCTAGTTCATGGGAAGTATAATTTAGATCCCTGGAACTGTGAGATCGGTTACAGGCAATAATGTCACGCCGAATGTCGCCATTAGGGTCGTTAATTGTCCTCGGAGAATGTACATCAAGGAGGATATCGATGCAGTTGTTGTTCTCAGGGAAGGAACAACAGCAGTCGGAGTTGCTGGAAACTTTGCGAGTTCTTTTCATGAAGTTCTCTCGACATGAGAAAGCAAGCGGCAAGGCTGGCGTTGGCTGCATGTCTGCAAGAGAAATAGAACTTTGAGGTATTGCACATATAATTATGTTTCAAAGTAGCAAGCTCAGCATTTAGTTGACATTATTAATGACGATAAAAAAGTTACAATAGAGATTGTTACGAAAAGATTCGAAATTGAGTTATGTACTTGGTAATCTTTGAAATTATTCGAAATTATTTGAATGGCTACATTAAATTTAAGGTCATTAAGTGAATCCAAATATAGGCATTTTTATTAATAAATTGAATAACTAAAAATATACTATGTATTAATAGATAATGAATGAATTAAGCAGAAGTAAGAACTATTATTTTGCTATGCTATTGACAATTAAATCACCCGATACTATGTACGTTTGCATATGATCAGTCTGATACGTTTCTATCAATGACATGCATCAACAAGTGACTGGTTTGGCGGTGAAACATAAAGCTGAATTCATAATTGCTGCATCACGACTGAGTTCCAACGTCGCCTCTTATTTATTATCTCATAAATGTTTATAATAGCGTTTATAAAGATGGCAATTGAGATATATAGGGCTTGAGTCGGCAGCTTGTTCGCGTCAAATCTTACTTGAAGTGTGAGCGAATATCGAAAGGTTCAAGTGGAATTTCGTCGGAGTTTGCCGTTCATATCAATGTCTTCCTAAAATTGAATTTGAGCAGAGGTACAAAAGCGCGAGGAGAGTCTGTTTGAAGTTAAACTGGAGTGTGAAGTTCGGAGAGGCTGCTGAAACATTTTTCAGCTCGATGATTTTTTTTACAATCGTACTTTTCATATTATCATGTCGCAGTTTCTTCCATATGCAATAAAAATTCAAAATAAGGTCACAAAATCAGTTAGCATTCTCCAATGTAATTAACTATACACCGATCAGATTATTTTTCATCTTCAAATTTCAACAGTACCAGGCACGGCGTTGAGTTTGAAACCGTCTGCATAAACTTTAACGTAAAATAGATAAAGTTTCATTTAACTAAAGAACATTTTACAAGAATTTGGATCCAAAATATTAATTGATTCAAATATTTTCGAATCCAACACGTCACCGACGAAACATATCTATTTTCAGCAATTTATTACACCGCAATGCTCTTATTTTGAGCAACACACACGATCGATGTTACACCTATGACCAGGAAAATTACTCAGAACTTAATGTTCAATTACAACATTATAATAATGATATTATGAGTAGCGAGTTCTAAGTCCTACCACCCAAATAACGTATAATTTCGCAAAATTGCATATAGCCATTGCACATTCCCACAGTTTGAGTCTTAAAATATAAAATAGTTTTCGGGAGAATCCGCCGTAGCCAATAGGTTTATTGGACTTCAATCTCATCACATCACAGTTCTAAACTTGCGAAGTCTGCGGACAAATTCTCGAGACGTTGCCATGAGAGGCTCGTAGACCGGTAAGTGTCATGACCTGCACGGTCGTATCCTGACTTTCATATATGCTCTCCAGTTACCTATAACTTGGTGATGCTGCTCATAACGAGACTCTTGAGTATCCATTAGCCCTGAGAAAGTTTTTATAGACCCTTATCTCGCCCGCACGCGGTGCTGCTTCCACTTCGCTATATAGCGGAAGAAGATCCGTGCCCTCGGAATTGCGAAAAAATGAGGGAAGCATTACAACACACTTGAGTACGGTACTGGCACGACCGAGGGGCGCCGCGCGACAGCCATTATTCGCAACAATTTGAAGATTTATGAGGAAACAATTGCAAAGAAATTGCACTTACATGACTCGATAGCGTCGTAACTTCCCACGCTTTTAAATGAATTGCGGGGAACTGACATAGTTGTCCACCAGTTTTTCATTTATATAATAGATGACATAAAACTAAAATAATAATTTATTATACATCATAAGTTTGTATTCTATCTATGACGTTGTCAAACTGTATACATGTTTCTTTGACAGATAAATAACCGGAAATTTTCCGAACTATCAATGAATATGGTGAAGATAAAGATAGTTTGAAATTCATTTTACAACCCAATCACATATTAACTGAAAGAGACACAATGCAAACCTGACGAGATCTACTTCTATAAGGTTATTAATTTTCTCGACATTGCAGCCGGAAATATTGCTTCTACTTTAATGACATTAAAGGTGATGTGACATAAGAAATGTTTCAGAATTAATGGCTCTCTTCATTTGAATTTTCATCCATAAACGTGATGAAAATTGCTGGACATTGTTAATGCAACCATATAATGGAAAACGAAGTATTTAACTTAATTTTAAGAATATATCATTCATCGGGCATTATTTCATCCTGAGTGGAATTTTTTCCCAGTTAAAAAGGTACATTCCCGTGAGCAAAATAAATTGTTTCTGTTGACATTAATCAAGGAAACTAAAGCAATAGAAGAAACTCGAGCGTGCAATCAATCCAGGGTGAGCAAAAGGCGAGCAAATTGACCAGCCAATCAAGGTTGAGAAAAAGACTGGCAACTCTTGTGAGGGCGAGGACGAAATAAAGGAAATTGTCGGCCAATATATCGCAGACGAACGAGGTCTACATACATATATTTTTTATTGTTTTTGAGACGGGGAAAATCACCTGTGCTGTTTGAAGCTCAAAATGAATATTAAAATATGTAGGAGAATATCAAAAGTCTTGACAGCAATGTAAACGTACGGGGATAGTAATTATGAAAGGGTGATTAATAAATAAGAACGTACTTTATGGAATGTCCTTTTTTACCAATAAGTTATAAGAAATTCTGTTCCGTTTTAATTTAAGGAAGACTATGAAGATTAAGTTTGAATAGTTGTTAACTTCTAGGAAAAGGAATTAACAGTTAAAAGAAGCTTGGAAAGAGGTGACAGATTGTGCATTCTAGATTGCTGTATAATGTACAGCATAATATGTGCATTTTCTCTCTTGATTAACTTGATTTAATGCATGGAATGGGCCCCTAGTCCTGTTAATGCATGCTAATTCACTTCTTTGGTTGGACCCAACATTGCAAAGTCGTCTATGACGCATTAGCACTTTGGCCTTATTTCTGGCCTAAAACCTTAACCTTAACCTTATTACTAATTAACTTATTTACTAAATTAGCTGAGTTGGGCCAACCTATTACTAACCATTGCACATTGTATCGAAATCAAACCTCTGAATGGCATCTGTGCCACTTCTAAATGGAGCCATCGGCAATAATTCAGAAGGTTGGTTAATCAATACTTGTTCGCAATTAACTATATATACGATTATATATGACATATTGTTCAATTAAGAAGCCCATTGTATTTTAATGTAATTCAAGAAGTTCTTTTTGTTACGTTACAGTATAACGACTCGCATCACACGTCACCCATTCTGCGGGAACTTTGTCGTACGGAACGCCTCGTCTGTTTGCTGCTGCGTGCTGCCGTATTTAGTTTCGCAAGGTTAATGCTGGGAATCAAATTCACTGTCAAATCATATGTCGATAAATTGGAATACAGAATATGATCACATAAAGCATCCTTGAAACTAAGTTTATCAGTTAATCAGACTGTATTCTTTCTCTGGTTGCAGTTGCTCCACTGCTTCATCAGTTCTCAATTCTTTTGCCTTCAAAAACCTTCGAAGATTTATCCTGTGGATTCTCAAATAAAGTTTATCAGCGATTATATTCGTGTAAATTCCTTACAAAGTCCTCGTCGATTTAATCAAGAAAAGCCTAACATCTCTTATCGAATAATATAAAAATTTATAACTATTGTGAGATGAAATGTCTGGCAACCTGAATGTTAGGAATATTCACTTATAAATCGAGGATCCTATAACCGGAACTGATTCACCAAAATCTTCTTGTTATCATCATCCACTTCACAATCATTCAGAAACCCATTTTTGATGTGACCAACGTAGCTGAATGAAATCATGACCAGCATCGCTAGGGCTGCCCTAGATCGCCCGGCATTATAGATCTGTGCTCTAGCATTCTAGGAATTGATGTTCTAGGCCTCTATAGGTGACACACTCAGCGACCTTCAACGCATCCAAGCCTCCATACAATTCTTGATAAAATCCCCTCGACAGTCCGAGGATCAATAGACTTCAATCGAGGGTACGAATCCTCATTTGTAATGTGATTGCATTCTATTGAAGGTAAATTGTAAACCAAACTTTCGCTTTACAATAAGACAGCAGGAAATTTGTCATATCACAATTAAATTCCGGACGCGGATGTATAATATTTAATAAATGCATTGTAATTAATGAAACAGTGGTAGCGAGTTTAAGCGCATTAGAGACTCGGTGGCCACTGATGCTCCTGTTTTATTTTAGTGGCTAATGTAACTGGTTCGGCTCAATAAGTTCAACTGAATCCATGTTTTGTGTTACAAAAATATGAAAACTGTCTTTTTTAATAAATGTAGAGATGTCTAAGAGAAAACCGTAATGAATAAAATTTATCTTTTTCAAACTGGAAAATAATCCTTGCTTGTAAATTTTTCGATGATGTAAACGAATTTTCGTCGCAAACTCTTGATGTTCATCTGTTTATCTCCTGACAAGCTCGTACGTGAAGAAGCAGTCGAGTTGTGAAAAAGTTAACAAATCACCGTAGACTTTAGGGCGGTCCATAAATAGCTCTGCCGTTGACCTATTACGATCAATGCCTTTGAGCACGAGCATCGGTAAATGTCAAAAACCTAATCATTGTCTTTCTATGGCCAAGTAAAGTATTGTCCGCTTCATCCAATAAAATTCAGCGGGAGAATTGAATAGGATAAGGTTGCAAGGAAGCTATCGCGTTGCACTTAAAATCTTGAACGTGCATCGGTGCCATTGATACCCATAGACAAAATGACACTAATATTTGCAGCTGATACAACAGAACAAATTCAAAAACATAATTGATGTCTTAGAAGCGCTAGGCCTGAGATGCAACTCAGAAGGTCTCAGGAATTTTGATACAAATACGAGTGTAGTGCCGCGAGACACCCGTTGTACTGCGACCTGGTATCTCACATATACCAGGATCCCTGAGGCATAACTGATGATTGTCATGATGATGCAGCAGTGCACCATATACCAGGATATCGTTCATCAGTGACGTAGTATGAAGCATAATCAGGATATCGTTGATCAGTGACGTATTATGAAGCATAATCAGGATATCGTTAATCAGTGACGTATTATGAAGCGTAATCAGGATATCGTTGAGCAGTGACGTATTATGAAGCGTAATCAGGATATCGTTCATCAGTGACGTATTATGAAGCATAATCAGGATATCGTTCATCAGTGACGTATTATGAAGCATAATCAGGATATCGTTAATCAGTGACGTATTATGAAGCGTAATCAGGATATCGTTGAGCAGTGACGTATTATAAAGCGTAATCAGGATATCGTTCATCAGTGACGTGGTATGAAGCGTAATCAGGATATCGTTAATCAGTGACGTATTATGAAGCATAATCAGGATATCGTTCATCAGTGACGTAGTATGAAGCGTATTGGTTACGCAGGAAGCTAGACTCGTGACGTCACATCCAGGCGACGCAGCGGTCACGTCACTCATATGAGTCAGCCCTGCCCCACGCACTCATCGTCGTATGAGTGACGTCGTGCATGAGTCAACTGATCTCTGTTATCAGTGATAAGGAGTTGCCTTATAATAATTATTCATAGAATTATTGGAGTGTTAATACGATTGCGTGTCCAAATTGCCGATGAATTCAAGTCTCAGTTTTTTTTTCGGATATGAATGGTAAGGATTTGATTGGTTAATTTCAAATAGAGCCGGAATAATCATTTTGCTTGTGATTGTTATGTGACAAGGGTGACATTTTCATTTAATTTATGAATGATTATAAGAAAAACTTGTTTGAAGATGACATTATTATGAGTTTTATGCGTACCGTGATAAGTTACAAATTCATGCAAATATAGAATTAACAGAGTCTTCTATGAAATAAAAGTCGCAGCCAGGTTTCTGAAGATAATCGTTTAGAGCCAAAAAGTTTTCTAACGGAAATGGAAGGTGCGCCGGTCTCATTTTAACTTGCCTACTACTTAAAAAAATCTTTCAGGGGAAAACATCCATTCCTTTAACTGCTCATTTTAGACGCTGGTTGTTCCACTTGGGAAAAAAATCATGAGATCTTTTATGTTGAGCGAACGATGCATTGCGAGAAAGCTTGAGGTTCATGTCAGCGAAGTTTAAGGATAAACTTAACGCAAGTGAAGACATGAACGCTGCTTTTTGGAAGACTGATGCTGAACATTACAGTGCAAGAGGCAGAGAAAAGTGGCTGAACGGTTCAGGATTTATGTATGAACAGAGAAACGTAGGGTACCAGTCCAGGATTTATGTAGGAAGTAGGAGATGAACGAGTCGCTGAGGGAGCGAGTCAAGTGGATATACGATAGCAATAGGCAAAGTAGGCGCAGTTATTGAGAGGGGCACTTCAGTAAATGCTTCATCAGCCATTACTTGTGACTTGGGAAGAACTTGTTGCTAACGATACCTCACTTGTTATGAAATGCGTTATAGTCGTGAGATTATTTCATTGAAATAAACGGTTAAGCAAAAATTGTAAGGACTCTGAAAAAATGACATTTTGGGACAAACGATAATAGAAAATCGTGGTTGATAACATCATATTAAAATGAAATAAAATTCAACTATTTATCAACGGGAAGGTGACGCCAATTTTGTAAAGAAAGTATAATATGATCTTTTTCATAAAGTAATTGATGTTTGTTAATGCGAGATGTAACACAAATGCTGGAAAGAGAATCAATACAGACGGACTTCTGCGCCGACGGATCCTTAATTAGTTGTAACTTTATTGTCTAAGGAATTAGTGAGTTGAAGTTAAGTAACTTGAGGCCCTGCCGTAATGAGACTTGGACTATAATCAATACTACAATTGCTGCCGTGCGGGATCAAACGTTATGGCATTGTCATTTTCCAGAGAGTGACTCGTCGTGCTCGACCTGCGATGCTGTGTCGGGAGGTATTCACATATTCGATGCGCAGTTGTGGACAAGTTCAACTGTGAAATATCGCTTTATAACGTAATTTTTATCATTCGTCGATTTTTCAGTTTTTTTTGTCGCTTTGGCTTCGAATCCTATTTATAGTTAACTCTCTACCGCCTGACATGAGTAACCGGAGCAATATTGTCACAAGCCTAAGTACTTCCTAAAAAGGAAACGTTCTAGTGAACGCAAGTTGACTAGCACTGATGGTTGCCGCCACGTACGATAACTTTAAAATGTTCTCTGTTGCGTACAGACGTCTTCAAGTAGCTATACAGCCTATACTCAATAGTTTACGTATAATTTAAGTTGAAATTATGTTCCCGGAGAGTGACACAAGGCGGTAGTGGGTTAATTAGAAGCAAGCAGACCATATCACGGCTTGTTAGACGTAATTAGGACCTAAACGACAGACAATTTGCGTAGTCAATTTCGGAAGACATACAATACCTTATATCAGTAATTAGATACAAGTACTCGAATTATTTGATTTATTAATAAATTTTAAGCGCCAATAAATTTGATACTAATTCGCATCAATTTTACTTAGTGCTAGATTTTAAACGCCAATAAATTTACTAGTTTAAGGAAATATTCACTAAGATAGCGAACGTCCCGACAGCATCACACGCTCTATGTTTCAGCAGCTAAGGAAGGTTTGGGCTCTTGCGTGGCCTATTGCGTGGGCTATTGCGTGGGCTGTTGCATGGCCTATTGCATGGCCTATTGCGCGGGCTGTTAGGTGGGCTGTTGCACGGAATGCAACATGGCCTATTGTGTGGGCTGTTGCGTGAGCTGTTGCGTACCCTACTGCGTAAGCTGTTGCATGGCCTATTGCTTGGGCTGTTGCATGGTCTATTGCGCGAGCTGTTGCGTGGGCCGCAACATAAGCTGTTATTGGCTGCGTTCTAGGGCACCTGCCGACTCAGCAACGCTCGGCCGCCTAGCCGCTGCTCCAGGGATGTCGCGGTTTTTCCGCTACAATGAAAAATTTTAAGCGGACTGCAATGGCGATAGCAGCACAGCATTGCAATGTGCTTGCGAATTCAACAAGCGTATGATGTAAACTACCGAATTTGTAGAATTTTTGATATTAAAAATATATGAAAATGTAATCTGTAATTATAGAAGGGTCGTCGAGTCATTAAAAAAAACAAAAACACATTTCGTAAACAACTTATTTAGGGAAAAAATTTGTTTGTTGTTTTTATCTATTTTTAGGAATGTGAAAACTCCACCCAATTTTCACATCGTGCAGAAAACAATTCTTTGCAGAAATCCAACTGTCTACTTCGGTTATTTTAAGAGAATGAAACAGCAGAATAAATTTTTTTGCCTGACTTGGAGATGCAAATTCTTGTCGTAAACACGAACAATCCGCGCGCCAACAACATTTTACGACAGCGCCGGTGCGTGCCCGAGAGGTTGTGCGGCCATGCGCATGATTATGGAATTGCATGAAAATGAATTAAATAATTAATGACTTATTCGTGGTCAGCATAAATTGCGACGATGAATTATGCGGCCGGAAATTCTCTCGCTTATCATTATCACCCGGCGCGTACCATTATGCGCAGGCCCATAAGGACAGGTTAACCTAAGGTGGTAAAAACTTTCCCTCCTGTTTATCCTGAGTCTCAAAAATAAAAGCACACCAACGAAACTTTTTTAAGCAAATGAATTATCACAACTAAATACGGATATATGATATATCTAAACATTAAAGCAATCAAAATCATACATGGCCATTGCATAACTGCGATGGGCGTTTATTAGCAAGCAAAATTGAACACTCACCTTCCGTTTCCTTCCAACAAGAAGAATGTTTATACGTTCTTGAAATTTGTAGGATTTGCTTCCATCAAGACATGTATGAATTACTTGAAAATTATTTCTTCAAAAAAGTTTTAATAGCATGACAGCAATTAAATGGAACACTTGATAAAAAAAACTAAAATAACATCTAGCTAATCGGCACGGAATTTCTACAGGGTATCGAAGTCAGCTTTCTGAGAAGACCAAATGGAGAGCGGCACATGACCACATGCGACCAGAGCTTCCTTCAGACTGAGCGGTCGCTACTCGCTTCAGCGGCGCTGACTCCCGCCTCCGCCACCTTTCATCAATGTAAACTTATTGTGATAATTTCCTCAAGTATCAATGATAAAACTAATAAAGTTATTTCCCGTTTATCAGCAGGTTCTTTCAGAGAAACGGGTGTTATCACTTGTTCTATTTTTATTGGGAACGGAAATTTCTTCTGATATCGACAGGATGAGAACGCACAACGAAATACAAGAGGATGTCTGAACTAAGTGATAGAAACTCCAAAATTCGAATCGTTGATGTATTATCATTTAAACATTCTATGGAATGAAAATCATCGTACAAATTTAATTTCGAAATAATAATATTTCTAAGATTATTAATTAGAAATTATTTCTAATCAATAATTTCTCTCTATATCGAAGGATATTTTCGGCAAGATATTCTGATTAGGGAAATATCACACAATTACAAGCTAGTAAGTAATAAGAAAAGTGAACGCGTTGAGAGTCTAGGAGGTGCGTGAAGAGGCAAGGCTCTGCAGCGGGAAAGGTTCGGTCGTGAGGGGCTGTGAGCCATGCATCGGAAACCCTGCCTTATTTGGGTGCGTCCGATATACTACAAGTAAATTACTATCATTTCTTCTGCATCTGATACACAGGAAGAATTAAAACTGGGTATGATTCCTCATCAGTTAATGGTAAATATCTGCGTTAAATTGAATGAGAAGGACATAGTCTAATCGATGAATTTAGACTTTTGATAGATTATATCCCTGCAACTGGATTTTAGCAAACGACGTAGCTACACAAGTACAGATAATTGAAAACAGCGGCCACACACGCCAGTGACGCACCTATTCCAGATATTCAAGATAAGCATCAAGGTGCCGACAGCTTTTCATGAGAAGTGCAACGTCATGACGCTCTTTGATCATGCAAGGCTTAAATTGATTCATTAAGTAGCTCTAAACAATGCTATTGTATTGAACTTAATAGGCATCCTTGTGGCCCTAGTCTCTGTATTCCTTAGCCTTCAGTAAGACTGCTGGTCATGCTGTAGCGAGGCCTAAAGCTTATCCTGGACAGGCGTTTGAAGGCTGATGTGATATGCTTACAGGTGCGAGTAGTGCCACCATTACCATATATACTAGGGTGATGCTATACTTCCAACCATATACGTACTTTCAATGCGTAATTTATGAACAAGGTTGGGTTGTTTGCGGATGTTTTCTAAGTCTGCGATCACCCACTAATCTTTACCTGCTCCATGAACAGCTGATATAAAATTTGATTTGATAGGTTCCCTAATGGTATCAATGTTGCTAGGCGTTTGCCCACTCAAAAAGTTTCGTCGAGCTTATCTGGACTTGTGTGTGGCAACGAATTATTTAAACGGAACAATACCCGGTAAAGTTCCTAGCAATATTTTCATAAATCAAAAAGAAAATATTTCAAGCTTCTTTGTTGAAATAAAACGTAAGAGTAGTCTGTTCAGTGTTCATGGTCAATGATTATAAATAATTTCAGCTCGGCATCCGCTAATCGCAGTCGATGCTTCAGAACAGTGGATATGGCAGCGCTTTTGAGAATAGGAAAAACTGTTTCATTCCGCCATTTGTTTGAGATATTTTTCTTGTAATCGATTGAATGTTAAATAGAATAGGTTCTAATAGAAAAATAATATATATCCTTGGAAACGGTGTGTGACATCAAAACAGTACTTGAGAATGAAGGCCTAAATCAATATCACATGAGTTTGGACGCTGCTTGCGTGCTGCTGCTTCTACGCATCAAACAGATCCCTCATATCAGCATCGAGTCACCTGTTAGTTCATAATATAATTTGGAGTTTTCTTTGCACACGATTGGTCGTCACACTCTTTCACATCGTATTTGAGACGCGCGTTGCTTAGCAACTCAATGAACGTCTTGAAACGAATTGTCTGATCATAACCGCTCAGCACATTTCTTAGGAAGCTACAAAAAAAAACTATCTCAATTTACTTCCAAATGTAGTAAACTTCCAAAGATTATAGAATTCGATTTTCCTAAATAATTGAATACCACACTAAGCTATATTCTCATGTCTTTAGCTCTCGTTTTTATGAGTACGAGCTCTTTACTTGTCATTCTTAGGTGCCACAAGACCAAGTTGTTCAGTACACGTAACCGCAGGTCGTTCGATGTCCTCTTGGCGCTCTTCCGGAAATTCCTGCAATATCGACGTCTGGCCCTGCAACGGATCCAGCGTGCTGTCGCCTACGCAATTTGTCTGCAGAGGTCGTTGCCGGGGCGAGTCTGCTGTTATTTTTACTTTTAAATGCATTTACATGATACGCTGCTTGACAAAAAAATACTTGGTGATTAATTATCACTTAAAACCATACCTGCTGTATTATTCTGAATTTTAGTTCCAATTTTTATATTGAACAAAAATTACATACATTATAAGCTTTGGACGTCCTAATAATACGAGTATGAACACAGAAATATCCCGGTCATGTCTACTGAACGTCGTAGCTAAAAATGTCAAGTTGAGTTCCGGATATTTTCTTGGAGCACCGCGCATCTCAAGCACCTATTTATATACGCTTGAATAATAGGACCTTTTCTACAGAAAACGTAATGTAAATAATTTCGTAATAAATGTTTAATTAATAACTAATTATTATTAGTAGCATTAAGTAGTTTAATTAATACTAATTAGCCCAACAAAAGTGGCAGTAAGCATTGATGGAATTTCAATCGTAGGTTTCCGAGGTTTAAAGGTTTTAAATCATATCAATCTAGTCTGTTGGCAATTAAAAAGCTTTTTTTATTTGTCGATTCAACCATGAATCTCTGTGGCGAACTAAGTAACTAACTCTGTATAACAAATGTTGAATTAAATGTCATTTAAAAACTGTGACATTTAATCTTGTCCACAGCAGTGTCAATAGTCAATGACGGAATTTAAATAATGATTAATACGAATTATGATTAGAAGGAGTTCGAGTTCCTCCGTGTCATACCGTTTATTTAGCCATACATAGAGAATTAATTAATAATAAAATTCGATAAGGGAAGTCCGAAAGGAAACATTTCGTGTCGTCGAAGAATGACAAACTTTTTACTATTTCTCCCATATAATTTTTAGTCGCCAAATTATACCTTACAAAAAGTTAACTTTCATGTCGGAGTACTTCAACTTCCATGGACACCACGGAACTTTCACGGGCATCGCGCGACTGATTCGCAATGAAGAGTCTAAACTCGCCTAAGAATTCCTCCCCAAACTTCATCTCTGACAAGACGGCAACAAGAATGAAGTTGTTGAACTTCGAAGTAGTCGGAATTTTTCTTTGGAACAAAGTTGGGCTCACGATTCCAAGATGCTCACGATTCCAATTATCCAAGTCTCTGTAAAAAATCAGAAACTATTGATCAATATCTAAATGGTGTTAATACAAACGATTGAAACCTCTTGATATTTTTATTAAGATCTATTTGAAAAGTGTACATAGCGTAAATTCATCTTTAAATGAATTTTAGAGGCCCTGTACCGAAATTTAAAACTCTTTCTCAAATGATTTCGAAGCAGCAACACACGCATTATCCTCTCATTAAAATTAATGCAGCATTAATTATATTTCCAAAAAGATTCCAAAATTCCCAGGAAATAAAATTGGGCAGTGAAATCTCGTATTAAAGCGCACAAATTTAAATGCAATATTCTTAGCTGGATATCCGGCGGCGAGCTCCCCAGCCTGCAGATGAGCTGCCGTCGCATTGTTATTTCTTTGCAAGAGAAGCCTCAAGCTGTGTAAGGTCCGAGGATATTTCTCGCTTACTCTGCCCGCTCTTTTTTATGCAGATTTGGTGCTGGAATATTACAAGGAGCTTGTACAGCCACGCGGCCTCTGCCATTTGCGCTGCGCTGTAATCCGCGTGAGAAGTGACAGCTGAATCCTGCGCTGGTGCCGGTGCTGTCAGTGCTGCTGCTGGTGCTGTCAGTGCTGTTGCTGCTTCTGGTGCTGTCAGTGATGCTGCTGCTGCTGTCAGTGCTGCTGCTGGTGCTGTCAGTGCTGCATGCTGCTGCTGCTGCTGGCAGTGCTGCTGCTGCTTCTGGTGCTGTCAGTGCAGCTGTTGGTGTTGTCAATTATGCGGATGTTGCTGGTTTTGGCTTAGCTGTATTGCCTGTAGTTCCAGGAATTTTTACAGCATCCAAACGAATAAAGTTTCACATATTTTGGCAGGGCGCCTATCCCTAAACATTATTTTGGTGAGGAAATGCTTTGACTTAACAGTTGAGATATAAATTGAGGCATTCGATTAAGATTGGTGTTTACCCAAGTTTATAAATTGTTAAGTATTTGTACAGATTACTCCCTGCCAGCAAAGTACAGTAAATAAGTAAATATGGCTCGTGAGATTCCTATATATGTCACTCGTGCGCAGCCACGACATGAGATGCTAGACACGACTCCTGAATACCGACGCCATGAGTGTACACATTAGGTCCAGCGTGAACACGTCTTGCAGCAGTCGTCACTACGCCCTGTTTAAAATATTACGAGCATGCGGCATCGTTAATCCATACGTTCACAGCTCAGAAAGCATACAGCTTACGTTGTATGCTCAGGAGTATACAAAAACGGAAATGAAAATTTACATTTCGATCAAATTACATACGACTGCCGTGAGAACTTCTGAAGATGCATTCCTTGCGAGACTCTGTGTATTGTGAAGACAAAGGACGGGAGGTCTCAGGTTGCCAGCCTAAGTCTGCGGGCAAACATCCTGACCATTCGTGTAAACTATTTTTCGGAAGCCCTCAGGTTTCTTTGCTTACGCTTACGAGTGCATTTGCTGCGTGTGTATGATGCATTGCGGCCGGAAACGCGTCGTCGTAGCAGGCTGGGAATTCTCGACATGCAATGAATGCTCCGATGTGGCTAGAAGCTTGTTGCTACAGAGGCAAGAAGCATTTACATTCTACCCCGTTTTCCACAATAGAAAATTTCA